TGTAATATACAATTCCAGGGAACCTTAAAGTTCATAGAGCTAAAATGTACGTTCACCCACCAGTCCTTCATTTAACACATTTTATTTAATTGCCTACTGAAATATTTGTCACCTGCAACCGATATGTATCAAAGTCTAAATAAAATTTACTTCTATTCTTGTTTAAGAAACCGTAAAATGCTGAAGTAAATCTTTAGATTTACATGTGATGTAAAAAAATCAATTTATATTCAGTCGTTGTTCCGTCTTGTGTCTTCATATTGTTGCTAATCTGAATTCCCTTTAAAATGGGCACTTGATGCTTTTATTGTTACCAATTTAGTTGAAATGAACTGTTACAGTTTATTCCATCATTAATTTCTTGCTTATCAAACAATTAAGGTATTATTTTTTGACTTTTTATAACCTGTTGTGAAAAAATTGAACACTCGTGAAAAACTCAACCACCAACCTTTGACCATTTTTAAAATGCTACATATTTCGATTCTACGTCCAGACAAAAATTAAAGTATAAACATTTCTCTAAACGAAAAGTCATGATTAATTCTGCAGTAATCGGTGGTCCATTAAAGTTGAAAATGTGTTAGCTTGGTCACTCCACTATATTGTTTACTCTCCACACAAAAATGCTTCAACAGGGTTATGAGGAAGAACGACTGAAATCGACACTACTTAGGTTAAACAGTCACCATCACGAATGTGTTGAATGCTACAACGTTCCTTGTGTTCAACTCACTAGCGACACATTTTGCGGCATTAGATCTTTCGATATCAGAACAGTCGTCTGATCCACACATTTTGCGGCATTAGATCTTTCGATATCAGAACAGTCGTCTGATCCACACATTTTGCGGCATTAGATCTTTCGATATCAGAACAGTCGTCAGATCCACACATTTACCGATTGTGTCCTATTCCCTATTGTGACATTTTAACTGAGTGTGGCTTCACATGACGGGTGATGTATGTACAACATACCATAAGCTTGTCGACGCACACAGTCTTGTGACTTCACATGACGGGTGATGTATGTACAACATACCATAAGCTTGTCGACGCACACAGTCTTGTGACTTCACATGACGGGTGATGTATGTACAACATACCATAAGCTTGTAGACGCATACAATCTCTCTCCTTTTTTTTTTAGTTTATGTTATTTCCTAATGTTTCATTGATTCGTATGTTCTGAATGGATTTATGAGTTTTGGACATCGGTTAAAAAAACAAAACCTGAGGGACTTGCATAAACTAGAAAAGGAGCGAAACTGATTGCGTTGACAAGATTAGCGTCTCCTACTATACATGCACCTCCAGTCATGCAAATCCACACATAGTTAAAATACCACAATGGAGAAATAGGGTACAATCGGTAAATTTTTAGATCTAAAATCAAAATATCTAAAACATCAGCTAAAGTCAGCATAGCCCATTTGGAACTGGTAAACTTAAGAGATGCATTGTCTTGTTAATGTTAAACGATGTTCTGGAATGGTAGGTATTTCATCTGAAAGTCCATTGAAATAGCCCCAAAAATGTAGAGTCGGCGGTCCGTTTGTAGCATGGAGATGAAGTAAAACACGTGTCCCTATGCAGAAGACTGTATCATGATTTGCACTTATTTGAAACTAAATTAAAACATTCTTTATTGTTTTTTTTTCATATGCGTTTTAATTTTATATCACACTTTTATCTAATTTGATTTTTGATAAACTTCAGGAAAAACTGTTGAATGCATATTTGATATAGCAAACGAATTGATGTCAACTTTAAAGTTTTTATCCTTATCATTTTAATTTACAAAGAAATTATCTGGCCTCTTAATCATTCGAGTGTCACTGATGAGTCTTTTATAGGCAAAAACGCGAGTCGTCTAACGTACACAAAATTTAAACCTGGTATCCATAATGAGTTTATCTGTATGGTATTATCATAAACCAATGAATATCTGTCGCCATTAAAACTTGTCACGATTTTATTGTACTGTCCTCATTCCGCAAAATGTATTCTTGTGTATTTATGAATCCCATTAACACTCAAGTATTTAAAGAAGGAAACAGACATTTACCGTGTGGAGACAGTTGAGTGCCTCCCCGTGCGTTGGGTTTATGCTCTTATCTTATACAAGCTAATGGAGTGCGTGTCCGAACGAAAACTGACTTTTACTGTGCGTATTGCTGTGTGTTTGTTCATTCTACATTGGCTAGAGGTATAGGGGGAGGATTGAGATCTCACAAACCATGTTTAACCCGCCGCATTTTTGCTTGTCTCTAGTCAGGAGCCTCTGGCCTTTGTTAGTCTTGTATGTTTTTTTTTAATTTTAGTTCATTTATATGTTTTGGAGTTTAGTATGACGTCCATTTTCACTGAACTAGTACAAATTTGCGTTTAGGGGCCAGTTGAAGCCCGCCTCCGGGTGCGGGATTTTCTCGCTGTGTTGATGACCCGTTGGTGGACTTCGGCTGTTTTCTGCTCTTCGGTCGGGTTGTTGTCTCTTTGACACATTCCCCATTTCCATTCTCAATTTTATTTCATTTGATAGGTACCATGATATAGAAAATAATTTCACTAAACAGACTCACAAATGGTAGTGACGAAGAATAACTGAAATCGAAATTACACTAGACTGACGGTCAGCAATACGAATTGGTTGACCGGTACGACATGTCAGTGACCAAGTCACTACCAACATGTTTTCGCAATACTACATCTTTAGATTCCATAGCAGTCGTCTAGTCTGTAAATTTACCGATTGCGTTCATGTCGTATTGTTACATTTCGATTGAGTGCGGATTCTCATAGTGGGTCATGCATGCATAGCAGACACTTATCTTCTCGACAAACACTGTCTCGCTCCTTTCGGAATACTTGCATCCCTCAGGTTTTGTTTACACATTGATATGTAAGTTCTGAATGGATTTATGACATTTGAACATCGAATAACTACTGTTGCGTCTTATTCATATCGAGATCTTATCAGATCCATTTCCACCGATTTTTTAATTGCCCGTCATAAGGGTCACTACACTAACACAAATGTTTGTGTAAAAGTTTTGATTGTATCAGTCTTATTTCACAATTAAAATCCTCTTATATCATATATCAGGTAAAGAATCATTAAAGGAAATATTTGATCTTGAATGACTTGAAACTATGTTATCTACATTGTTTTATATCATAATAGCATCTCATATTAAAATATTATAGATCATCCTGTATGTTCACTAATTGTACAATTATTGAAAGATGAAAACGTCGAAAACAGATGTAACTAGGTCCGACGTTTCGTGATTTATTTCAACTGTTTCGGTTCTTATACATCAAGTATTCGGTTTTGAGCGTTCCTAGTGAGGGTAAATATAGAAAAGTGCTTCCTACACTGCAAACACGTCCATATATAACCTTAGAAATATACACTACATAAGATGGAGCAAACGAAACATCATCATCAAGGAAAGGAAACCGTTTATAATTAATGTATGGGAATTTCAATTTGAGATTCTAATATCAAGGTCTGAAAAGGACATCGGTAACTTTTAATGTTTCATTTAGTAAGAATGAGTTCAGTTGGAAAATTTTCATTTGTATATATAAAATCTGGATTGTTTACAGTGAACATATCATCTGAATATCTGCTTGAATTGTGGAAAAAAATACCGCGTAGTTTTTTGTTCGGTTTTCATAAAGATTTGCAATACATTTGGATTCATGATTGTAAAGGAGTAAATCTACAATAAGAGGGACACATTTATTTCCTGTTGGAATACCAATCACTTGTCGGTATACTTGATTCAAAATGGACATAACTATTATCAAGCAAAACATGCCTGGCTTTAAACATATATTTGAATGTCAAATATGTTATTATTTTGCTATTTTATGTTGTATGGTTCCACAATATTTATTTCAGTACTTGTCAGGTTAGTAACTGGCTCGGTATTTTACATTACTTTGACAATGTTGTCGAGTTTTACTTAAAACATACGTATAAGTGTAATTTATTACAATCAAATAATTTTAGAATTGGGTCTATGATGAAAAGAATATTTTAAGTTTTTTAAGATACCCCACGGAAACCCGGGTGTTAATAAACGTTTTATTGTATTATATATTATACCACTGATCGAAACTAAAAGCGGGAATGTTGAGTACTCAAGCCATTAGTTGCATCCCAATAAAAGTTCAAATTTTATTTCTTAAGGATCATATTATCATGCCGTTTTTAAATCATGATGTTTTACATACAAAACCATATTTCAGAACTTTTTTGATGCTATTTTGTTCAATGTAAGTAACCTAGTACCCAACTTTAAAGCCTCAATTAAAGGCGATGTTTGTTCTGTTTTCACTATTTCAATGTACCTGATGTAAACTGTTGTCAGGTTTATTTTTAGTTTATTTACTCTTTTTCTATATAGATTTAATCTGTAAAGACTGTTACTGCTCCTATGAATATTCATGGCAACATGATCTACGGGTACGTTATATGAATCTTCGAGACATGATTTACAGTTGAATCCATTACATCAACGTATGATAGACGTGCACAAAGGGAAAAACCAGCTTCCAACACCAGCGAACATGACGAAAGCGTTAATTTTGTTGTATATCGACAATAGTAAAAGGGGTCTATAACAGAGGTAATCAAATAACGCTTTAAAGATTTCGTGCGTCTAAAGCGCTTTTTTGGATTTACCTTCATCAGGAATGCTCAAACCGTAAAAAATGTATGTATAAATACGAAGAAACGTAAAAAGAAATATGGTCAAAGGAAATCTCTCACCCCCCCCCCCCCCCCCCCAAAAAAAAAAACCCCAAATAATTCAAGATCAACTTTGCCTAAGGGTTTTTGAAACCTCAACTTCATAATAATTTCTTAATTTATCAACGGTGATTTTAAAAATGTCTTTAAGACTTCATAATCGCACACATTTCGTGAAATATCATACATCCTAATGTTGGTATAAATGAATAATTCAAAGGCATGTACAAAACACAAGCATATTCTATTATTTATTAAAAGATTTCAGTACTATAGCATTGACATTAATAATCAACAATGTTATATCACAGCACCAACTTAACAATATCACAATATAAATAACTCCGTCAACTTTTGATTTTACAATACCTCTTTGGTACCGACATTTTTTTATAAATATATAAATATATAACACTACAGTTTGTCATTTTGAGGGAGATTTTCTGATTAACAGGATACCTTGAATTACCTAGTGCTAATTAATTGGTAAATGATAATAGAAAGATAATCATCATCTAGCACTATTCTTTATTGATTTTGTTCACGGATAGAGTTTGACCCTGTAATAATACTACCTCGTGTGTTTTGGACTGGTTTTATTAATGGCAAAAGGTTAATTTAGCTGCAATATTCTTGTTAACTGAGACTGTCTTTATAGGCTGAAGCCTTTGCGAAAATAGAAAAAAAGAACCAGATCAGAAATAAATTTTATGCATCATGGTCATATCAAATGAGAAAATATTATCACTTTGAAAAGGTTATACAAGGACCAGTTCACAAAATGTTCTAGACGTTTTTCGAAAACGTTTAATATCTTAACCAAGGGTATAATATTTATGCATATATCAAATTTTACCGTTAATTTAGTTTAACTATTTTAGGCTTACAATCTGATGGCACGCTATTAGAAAACAATTACCATCTTTTCTGAATATATTGTAAAATATGGTGAAGAATAAACTTAACTTCGTTTAGTCAAAGTTATAGCTAGGCATATACTTCGTTATTTGAAATATTATCACTGACATTAAAACCCGAAAGTCAATATTTTGAAACTATTATGTAAACAATGGTGGAAATATACTTTATTTATTGCGGGATATACGCAAAAATGTTTACTTTGTACGATTAAACTCATATAACTCCAGAATAAATTAGTTGAAAAACATCCAATCTTGCTAAAATCGGCTACTTCGTTGCCTCCATTTTTTTCAGAAATCGAACAAAAAGTTGATTCAAATTGCATTAAAAATCAAATCCAGAACGACCAGATCTGAAAATAGTCAAAATCCAAACTCTATATGCCTGTACTACATATCAATATTGTCTAAAATCTGATTGGAATATTTGGATACAAATTAAATGAATGGTTTTGTTATAATACACATATTACAAAGGAACAAACTGAGCAGTATATGCACACTAAACAATTTGTTTTATTCCATTGCTGTAACTATATTATTTTGCAAATATTTAAATGCAATACCATAATTAGCTGGAGGAATGGTAACATACTTTTTCTCGATTTATAAATATAAACTGGAAAAACTGAAAAAAGTATATATATAAGCACCTTATTTCGTTAAATCATATGATACAGTTTTATCAGTCAAAGTACAAACGATACTGAAATTTGTTGACAAGAGTAAATTCGTATTATGACCAATATTGGAGTAAACTAAGAACAAAATGAAATTTTATTGCAATTATTAATAACCACCACGTCTACAAAGGTACCCATTGTCTTACTTTTTGTATTTTTGACAAAAATGATTAATGATTGATTCAATATATGTCTTTTGATTTAGGTTGCTGTATCATTGACTGTCTTATTAACTACATATGTATTTTCATTCATGCATGCAATAAATAGATAAACAGCATTAGCTTACAAATAACTTTTCATAGAAGATTCACTCTAATAAGAATAACAATTGCAATCGATTATATCGAAAGAGCTTTGCAAATATGCACCGTTATTGTCATACAGAGGCCAGTTTGGATTTAACCGCAATTAGAATGACAATTTTTTCTTTCAAATCACACTCTTTGCAACATTAGTATTTGTGAATATTCTGTAATAGCTTTATTCTAAGTTATCATCAGTGTTAGTTGACAATTGTTTTATATTCAATCCACAGTTTCAGTGTAAGTTTCTGATCCATATCAATTCATTAATCAAAGAATACTGTAATCTCACTAAAAGGCCTCTTTATCCTTATCCATTATATCAGCCTTGATCTTTTAACATTTTCACTGTTTTTACAATTTCATTGTGCAAGGGATCCGGTGATATATTTCACCAAAATGATAGTGATTCATTAGATCCATAATCTGCTGCACCAGTTTGGAAGAGTTTGTACCATGACACAGTATGTTCACTCAGGTTTAGCCCATCAAGCTTGATAATAGCCTCTCCTAGACTTAACTTCTTGTCAAAAGTCTTTTGTCTGGCCCATACAATTACCTGTAATAATTAGTTTTTTCTTTTATTACTGAATATTCAGATAAAGAAATTTTTAACGATAATATAATATTATTACAACAGCAGAGGTCAATTCAAACATTTTATATATTATGAACATTTTGTTTATTAAACAGACAATGTAACTTCTTTAAGATTTGCTTTCAACTTTTTTGTGGTAATTTTTAATATCAAGTCTCTCCAATAAGAATGATTTTTCTCAGTCTGGTAGAGCGAGAACACGATGACTCAAAAGCGCACGCCACTGACGTTTTCTACAAAATAGCTATAAACAGATTATCTATGGACTCTGAGATTGTAGCTGAAAAACTCCTTCTCGTTTTCAAACACATATATAATCTATAATGATATGAAAGTTCTCAGTTTTCAACTTTCCAACAAAATAAACACCGAATTATGAATAGCTGAATTTTGTTTGAACTTGCAACAATGCATAAAGTTTACTTATATTTCGCCCATATATATCTCTATTTTGAAACGTATTAAAGTCTATGATGTCTATATACATGACAAACCATCATTCAACATTGGTAAATAATCCTGCTAAATGTTTCAAAAGATATTTTCTTGTAGTCAGTACAACTGGTAGCGTGTAATTTTATTATATAATATTATACTGGTTAGAAATATCCTTATATATCCCGTATACCCCCTGTGAACAAAAAAAAAGATCGGAATGGTATATAATGTTGAAATCAGGACACCCCAGTATAATATAAAAAAATAACATAAATACCGAACTCCTAGGAAAATTCAAAACGGAAAGTCCCTTATCCAATAGCAAAATCAAAAGCTCAAACACATCAAACGAATGGAAAACAACTGTCATATTCATGACTTGGTACAGTCATTTCATTATGTAGAAAATGGTGGATTAAACCTGGTTTTATAGCTAGCCCTCTCACCTGTTTGACATTCGCATATAAACTCCATAATATTGACAACAATGTGTGAGCAAAACAAACAAACAATAAAAACATGTCAAAAATTGGGGTACAGCATTTAAAATTGTGTTATAATCTTAATCACTATAAAAACAAATAACTATTTCAACAACTGTTATAATTGTTATTCAGGCTTCACAGGGGATATGGCCTATTTTCCCTGTAAAGATCCCGTATAAAAAAAATTATAATATGTATTTAAACAATCACCATTGTCGTTTCAAAGATAAACATGTTATTTACCTTTATACTCCTTCCATGAATGTTGCAAGCAGAATATTTTATTTTCTTTCGAAACATTGGCTCAAATGAGGCTTTAATAACTTGTGTTTTCTTTTTCTGAATTGTCTTCAGCCCTTCAACCAAGTAAGTTTTTACATAGGTGTCTACAATGAATAAATTATAGTTAAAAAATAACAAATCTAAAACATGAACATATTAAGAAGTCTATAATCTTAGAGAGTAAGAGAAACATTTTACTCTCCGTACCTTCAAATGCTTTTGATTAAGAAAAGCATAATGATATTTGTCAATCTATGCGGACATAAAATTTTCCTCTGAGTTTAAAGCTAAAATACTCAAGGCTTTTAGAATGAAAGAATGAAAGAACATTTTTAGAGCAAGCAAACCTCACATACTCCTCGCCCCTTTTCGAACGATATGATTTAATAGTGATAGTCCCCTTACAAATTTTCTGATTATTGAACTTATTAAAGAAAGGATGATTGGAACCCTTCAAAATTGGAAAAACACTTGATAGAAAATGAAGACGCTATCCTGGGGACAATTCAAATAGGATGTTTTTACGAACCAGTTTCTAAATTACGATTCAATGATTATCAAACTTCAAATATCAATAGATATGATAAAACAAATAAGGTAATATCCCAGCGACAATATGCAATTTGATATTTAATCTATAAATTTCAATCTCCAAAATGTGATCGCTCATTTCAAATTTTCATTACTATCGTACTTATCCGGGGTTTTGATATGTAGAAATCTAAATAAAGAAGGTCCGATTTAAGATAAAAGCTTAATTCTGGAGACAACAACGTGCTGAACGGACGGATTAATAGACGAGTTAAAAAATTGTATACTCTCTGTAACTTCGTTAAGTGGGGTATAATAAATGTGGTTAGCACAATTATAACGTAGGGTTACAAGAAAACAAACTGTCATTGATTTCTCAAATTTCATAAGAAGATAATCATAGATCATAGGTGCTTATCATTGTCGAGCTATTTATTCTTTTATGAATATGTTACAGTTTGTATTGTACATTTGTACAAGTTATTAAGCTGTGAAACTTTTATGTAAATTTTCATGTTAACGAAAATACTCGGAAAGGTAACATTGGTAAGAGTAGAATGCGAGTAGTTTACGTATACACATTTTAAAAACAGAAAGTCCGTAATGGAAATCAATGTGTGTGTTTGTTTAAGAATGAGTACGCGGTAGGATGAATGTTAGGTTTTCATCCCATTATTTTGTCTTGTACCTATCGTCTTGTCTCATTTTAGAACATGTTTTATGGATATTTGTTAATTCTGATTATTTTTAGAAACCTACTTGGTGTTGGCTGTTGGCAAAACTTTTCACCAATTAACAAAACATACATTTTCATTAAACATAGCACCATATTCCTCTATTACATTGCGGTGTGTTTTTCTTTCCTACTTTTTTTGTTTAAACTTTACTTTTATGTGTATCCACATTGAGATATTTATTGTGTGTATTAAAGGAATATGTCTCTTTACTAACCTGGCGGTGGTGATTCGTTCCCATTCTGAAGCCCTGAAACATGTATAACGTCTATTTCCAATTGACCTTTAGACACCATAAATCCTAAGCGTATATTACCACAAACCGATTGTTCTGAAAGAAAATGCCACATTTAATTTACCGCCATTATAGTTTGTGATTATAGTATTGTTTTTCAGTCATTGAAACCTGATTTCAGCTTCGCAGTCTGATGTGGTTCGTGTTGCTCAATCTTTAGTTTATTGTGTAGTATTAAGTGGACTGTTGTTTTTCTTTTCATTATTTTAATCTATAGTCATATTGTATATATCATTATGGTAAGTGAATGTATTGAAAGCAATTTAACTTGATGCATCTGAAATGAAGATAAAAATGGGTTTTTTTTAGTATAATTCACAAGCAAAGGCCAATAACTACCATTAGAAGAAAACTTACAACGTTTCGTTTGTCAGATAGATTTACTATAATGTTTAAATTTACATGTGTTTTTGGGTGTTAATGTATGAATTATGAGGCATAGCAGAGCATATCATTTGGGTTTTTTTAATATAAACTATATGCTAGTATATGTTTTTACGGTTAAATCTTTACCAATAATGTTCTAAACAGTAAGGATTTCCCTTTTAATGTAAAAAATCAAAATTGAATTTGAAGGAAATTAAGTATAACCGACAACGATTTTTGAACATTTGACTACAAACGGTTAAAATAATTTGGAATGTCACACTCAATATTCTTAACTGGAAAAGGCTAACTTTTTAACATGATTTAATATTAAAATATCTTACAAGAAGAATTGTATTCGAAAATTTCGATGTTAATGCTTGAACAAAGATTATCATTTGCATTTACATAAATCCTGAGTTACCTAAACAGTATTAAACTGATGCGTTTCCCTCGGTTATAGTTTGTTACCCGGATTTGTTTTACTTATAATGATCGAATTATGACTATTGAATAGCGGTATACCACTGTTGCCTTTATTTAAACTACACATAATTTTAGATTTATAACATATTAGAATATACCAAGTTATGAATGATTATCTTGATTTTGCTTGCTATGGCTAGTTGTATGGTGTTAGAATACCTTTCTTCATATGTAGTTTGCCTTATGATAAAAAAACAACTTTTCCTTCTTAATTCAAACAGATCTATCAGAATGCATGCAATCCGAATAACTGGTACTTGTTCATTCTAAAGGATGTACTTAGGTGAAGTTTAGGAATTTGTGTCAGATGTTCGGACTCCTTGGTTTTTTTCCTACAATACAGGGTAAAATATTTTGCCCCATAACACCCATTTTTCTTTTCATATAAGACTTAAATAGCTCATAAAAGGTCATTTACCAAAATTTAAGCAGATTCTAGATTTCTTTTCTCTCGATTTGAGACCCAAAATTATACCAATGCAAATATAAGGTAAAAGTCCGAGTCAGTCTTTTCCCGCCATTTTTTAAAAATAAAATATCTCGAAAAGAAGCTCCATAACCTATCGATATTTTTAGCTTATGTTGTTCCTTAACTAATACTCTTCCGACTTATAGTATCAATTTTAAATTCTAGTTTTTTTTTAATTTCACCTAAGTACATCCTTAACCCATCACGGGCTCATACAATTAGTTTTTCGTCTCCAAAATGTATATCACGAAAGACGTCTGATAATATCTGCATTTAGTATTTTCTCTCTTTTTATATATCTTAATTTTCTGTCATTCTAATGTTTAAAAATACCCGAATACATATGAATAAAAGAAGATATAGGAATACCCCAATAAGACTGTAATAACAACTAAAAAACCCTAGAACATATGTTTATAGTCATACATGAAACGATAGTGCGGATTTTTATCGAATCAACCTATAAAGTATCATATCAAATTATGTGCTTCGAATATAGACATTAAATTTCCCTAGGCGACTAGCCAAGGGTATATTTTAATAATACGTTTATTCTTTTTATTAACTCAGAACAATTGACATTCCTGATGAATTAATATTACAAAAATCACATTTAAATATCATGTATCAAACTGAATTGATTTTAAAGGAAATCTTTCTTCAAAAAGTACATTAAGTACTAAGGATCAGAATATTTTTAATCCACAAAAACTCTTTTTAATCATACAAATTGCGTTTTGGTTCAAATGACGACAACTATCTTTCTATGTAATGCATATCAGATTAAGACAGTAGGCGATATAAAAGCTGCAGAATTTTTTTTATTAATTACGATTTTTAGATTAGTAAAGAACACACGCGATCAGTAATCTTTCTGAGCATTTTACTTTAATTAAATGAACTATATTTATTTATATTTGGAAATTTAATAGGTAAAGTGGTGACACATTTCGATTTATCACAAAGTGAACTGTTTGTTTTCATGTTCTTGTGATAAATATGTCACATTTGTAGAGAGTTTTCTTTTGTGTATTATTTCTGAAGTGATACACTTACCACTAGATGGCTTTGGAGGAATTTGTGATGATCCCAAACTGGACGTTATATCATCTCCCTCTGGTGGTGGTCGATCAACAGATAGCAATCTATCACTACATTTATAAATAAATATATAAAAGTCATTGAGTATAATCAATACCATTCATAAAGAAACTAATCATCACAACTTCTAAATGTATGATCCCATAGTTCATATTCATCATATTCCACTTAATATAAATAATAAGCACATTTAACGGTATCAATTGAACGACACATGATGTACATTTTGAAAATGAATGTCTCTTCAGTGATGCTCCAGACCAAAATATTTGAAAATCCAAAAGCTAATACAAACGTAGAAGATTTGGTAAATCAAAAGAGAACAAAAGTATAGCCAACCCCGCACAAGAAATCAGAGCTATATTTGGAGAGATTCATTTCTATATTTAAAATGGTTTCCAAAATTTATAACAGAACATTTTATTGAACAAAATTCCTATTGTCATGCATAATACTGGGCTGAAAGTGTTACCATCTAGGACTAACATCCGGCAGCACAGGTATCGACACAGTGGTTATAAATAACATTAAGGATCACTTTTTTTGTATATAACTTACTTTAATTTTTTTCATTATCTCTTGTATACACAATATTTCGTCTCGTAATTTTTTTCTCTACCCTTCCTTTTATATTTTTTTATTTTCGTATGCATATTTAAGGAGACTGTGTACCTTAACGCTGGTCATATATCTTAAGGTACTGAAAACTATGAAAGAGAATTTTGATATTTTTGGTATAAAAATCAACTAGAACGATTTCCATTTTCAACTAACTCGGGACCATGCATCGAGCTCCGAAAGTAAAACTATTTCAAACTTCAACACCAGATCAATCGGTTTTATTGCAACCTTGATATTAAATAAACAGGTAATGGTTTATTATTTTCATTGATTAAATATTTACTGATGATATGGCGTCATTGCGATTGTATATATTTGGTAATCCATAACGATGCTATTTTCGTTGCCAGGCAAGTTATATCCTGCAAATAGCTATACCTTACAAATTCTACTTTATTACAATCATTTGGTAGTTTGCAGACAAAACTATTCATTCAACCTCACTATTTTTTTTCAAATTACATGCTTGACCTTTTTCAAGATTTGGTCTTATCTGTAACATTTTGTTTATCTTTGCTTAAATAGTTATTTGTTTTTATAGTAATTAAGATTATATTACAATGTTGTCTGCTGTACACCAATTTTTGACATTTTTACCTGTTATTAGATATAAGAAGATCTTGTATGAGTGCCAATGAGACAACTCTCCATCCAAGTCAAAATTTATAAAAGTAAACCATTATAGGTCACAGTACGGTCTTCAACGCGGAGCCTTGGCTCACACCGAACAGTAAGCTATAAAGGGCCCCAAAAAATTACTAGTGTAAAACCATTCAAACGGGAAAACCAACGGTCTAATCTATATAAAAAACGAGAAACGAGAAACACTTATGAACCACATCAACAAACGACAACTACTGAACATCAGATTCCTGACTTAGGACAGGTGCAAACAAATGCAGCGGGTTTAAACGTTTTAATGGTACCAAACCTTCACCCTTTTTCTGAAACAATAGTGTAACATCACAACATAGAAAGACACACTATAAAATATCAACTGAAATAGCGTAACTCAATCAAAGGACATATTAACACCATTGAACATACACTGAACAAATAAATTTGACCTATGACACAATGTAAATACAAAATAAATGAACTAAGGGAAGAATAATAAAAGTAACATGTCTGTTTGATTTGCTTACACATTGTTGTCAATATAATGGAATTCTAAGCGACTGTCATACAAGTGATAGGTTTAGCTAGCTATAAAACCAGGTTTATTCTACAATTTCTACATAAGGAAATGTCTGTACCAAGTCAAGAATATGACAGGTTTTTTCCATTCGTTTGATGTGTTCGAGCTTTTGGCTTTTGATGTTGCCATTTTATGAAGGACTTTGAATTTCCCTTGGATATCGGTATTTTTATTATTTTACTTTTTGAGGCTGTTCCCGAAAAAAATTTGCAGTTTACCACAATCCACACCGTATCAGTACTGTTCCAAATTGTATAAGCGAGAAGAAAACCTAGACTCTAAAACAAAACCCACTTGGGGTTGAATGATTCAAAAGGTTTTCATACAAAACTCTAAAATTTGGGAAATTTACAACAGGTCTATAAATTCAAACATTTTCTAATCAAGCTTCTATATCTATCAGTTTTTTTCTATACTTATAGTAAATGGTATAAGAAGTTAATTATGTCTCATATTCATGCTTTCAGCCAACTAATTTCATATGTTTACATGCAAGTTATGTAAGAACAGAGAAATTCATGTTCTCTATTCAACAAAAAAACTTCTAACAGTTGCTCCACTATCCTTTACTGAAATGTCAATAAACATTTTTTTTTAAATCTTTGACCCACTTATGTCAATGTTAAAGGCAAAGTAATAAAATATACTAAATAAAATTATATAAATAAGATAGAAAAGAAGCTAACTAGCTTAGAGTGTAACTTTCAATTTATTTTATTGATCAGGGCTTCGAACGTTTTCGATTCAATCACTACTGTCATGACTGAGGAGTCTCATATAAACGAAAGTAGAATAACAAAACTACCGAACTCCAAGGAAAATTCAAAACGGAAAGTCCTTTATCAAATGGCAAAATCAAAAGCTCAAACATATCAAACGAATGGAAAACAACTGTCATATTCCTGACTTGGTACAGGCATTTCCTTAAGTAGAAAATGGTGGATTAAACCAAGCTGGTTTTATAGCTAGCACGTCTGGTGTTCAAAGCTGTTACTGTTATGAGGTTTTTTTAGTGCTGAACAATACGACGTAATATTCTCTGATCATATACGTCTTTTATTGTTTGTCTCTTTACCAATATGCTGCTTTTTATTGTTGACGATTTGTATTTTCTTGTTAATTCCGCTTCCCCTGTAACATAGTTGGGGAGGGGTTGTACCTTTTTATCATCTCGGCGCTCCTTTTTGGAGTTAGTACGATTTCCTCAGTTTTTGTTCATAACCTCGATTTTTCTTCTTAATCGATTAATGGGATTTGAACATTGGTAAACTTCTATCGCCCTATCTTATGTCTGATACTGACAGCCATTTCATAAACGTATTAACGGCCATCGTGTCACTATTAAATGTTAGCCAGACCTTCTTCTCAGCTTATATTTGAGATTACTTGGCCGGATATCAAGTGACTGTTTATTACAATCATAGACCACAACAATGGTTTGTCTAGGGAGGAGAGAATCAATCGAAAAAGATAATTAAAAAAGTTGGCACCAAATAATATCAAAGGAAATTTGTAGTTCAAATCGTGGAGTGCTAAACATCGCAGCTAGATTTCATTTGGAATACATAGATACGCAGTTCCGTTGTAAATATCAAAGTTGCGTGAACTTTGAAATTTTAGAAATATACAAGCGCAGTTTGGTTTTTAATTTGTATTACGTTCAAGATTTTTTAGTAAATCATACTGATGAAGGGTATCTGTTATCCGAAATATTTATTGATACTTGCATGAACTGTTTCTTTTTTTTCTTCTATTGGTGTTATTTTGTACACTTATATATTAATATTTGTAATGCTTTATTATATACATATAAATACACACCTTCTACTTAGATGTCTGTCATCCTCTCCGTCACTATCATTGTCATAGAAACTGCTTAAACTGGTGGCACATGATGTAATAGTGTTTTGTATGGAATGGCGTGGTGCTGTTAAATATAAAATTGTGATTATAAAAGAGTTGATGATAAAAAATGAAATGACAATCAAAAGATTTCTCTACTGGTTACAACACAATTACAGGATCATGTGTTATCTACTGTTGTGAAATGAATAAATTAGTTTTAAATGAATTGAATGAGTTTTGTAAGGAATTTAAGCCATAACGGATTTTGCTCAAATATGCTTGTCCTGTCAAACTAGGAAAATAATGCGAGTATAATTTGGTTGATGTATGAATATTTTCAAATCATTGTGATGCCCATCACTTTATGTATTCTCTAATATACCAATGTTGACGATTCCGTTGGACATTTTTTATTTCATCTTTTTCCTCACACATATTACAAATTACCTGGAAAAATGAACAACAAAGAATTTTAGAAAGCTTTGTTTTAAATCATGTCAATGTCGAAAGTCGTCATTTTGAATTCTATGACAAAAAGAAAAGTGGACCTGAAGAATTTCGTCAATCGTTTGTAGTCTATATTCAAATTGAAACATGTATATCGCTCAAACTACGAAAACAAATGGTTCATTGTAATCTGTATCGTCTATTTTATCAACATTTGCAGCCTACTTTCAGCGTTTTGTTTTAATATCTTAAGTGTCACCAAATGATACTTACAAGGCGTATTGGTGATTTGAAATATTACATCACCAGCACTTTTACTTCTGTTCGCTAATGCTTCCTTTTCAGTTTCTGTAAAAGTAAGTAATCAAAACAATATCAATTTACTATCACACATTTTGTAATAAGAATTTCTAAGACCAGATCTAAAGTAGCATTAATTCCTGTATTAGATTTCTTAAATGAACATCTCAAATTTACTATATCATACAGCACAATAAATAGTTTCATTGGTGTTGCTGCATAATAGTATTTTAAAATATCAGCTGCGAGTCACACTATGTTGGTTTTTTTAAATATCGACGGAGAGTAGCGAAAGAGTTCAATAAGCTTCATATTGTGCCGGGGAGCAGATATTTGGCAGATGTTTACTCGAAAATCTCATATTCCATTCATCGGATTGTATTTGTGTGGTTATCCATTCGTTTGATGTGTTTGAGCTTTTGAATTTGCCATGTACTTAGGGACTTTCCGTTTAGAATTTTCCTCGGAGTTCGGTATTTTCGTAATTTTACTTTTTTTTCAAAATCGAAACAAGAAATTTTCTTATTTCTTAGAATTTATAAGATATAAACCGGAAATACGCTTGACATGTCCTGTCAAATTTATCAACATCTGTTGAAAAATACGGAAATACGCTTGACATGTCCTGTCAAATTTATCAACATCTGTTGAAAAATTATGACGCCGTTGAGCAATACGGACAAAACTTAATAAGGTCACATAAAACACAAACGAAGTTACCAATTCATGACATTTGTCTCGTTATTTGTATTGCCATGATGTGGTCTCACCCGTCTCTGGTTTCGATTGGAGCGCATGGAAGACCGATCAATGGTACTTATACTAATATAGATGAGAAGTAAATATTTTGATATTCAAAATCCTTTAAAAGTATAAAAATGAATATGAATTTACAATTACTAGTTTTCACATAAAATACAAGTTAATCATTTATTGATGTGGCCTAACAGATTCTTAAAAGATAAGCGTATAATGTTGAAACTGGAGAAAGAAAACAACAGTGATCTAATTTTCGTTTGAACGTTCTGACTGTCATTTTCAGTCTCTTGACATTAATTTATCGTTAATACAGCCGTAAGCTATTCCGAATGTTAAAGATAAGTTTGCAATAAATGAGTAAAACCTATCAACTACACATCAATATCCAATATTCTATAAGGCTTAAGTGGACAACATATACGAACAAAATGCAAAACACGAATATCACTGGGGTATTTACTTCATTTTCCCAATTTTCTTTTAGCTACTCATTCTAATAGCCACGAGATTGATAAGCAAGACATTTGGGAAAATAATTTATATTGATCTATCTTACATTTGGAGCAACATTTATATAATCAAAGCAGCTGTTCATTTTCGGTTAATTAAGTATATCACTAACATAATATTGATGGCCAACTATGTGACTAATTATCTAGCCTGCTTCAATGCAAACATTTCTTAATATCTTTGAAATAATGAGATTTTAAGATGTATCAGAAATAATCATTGTCATTGTCAATGATGAAATGTATAGTAATTTTCGTGACTTAAATCAAACCATTGCTTCCATAAATAGATATGGATTCAGTGACAAAGTTAGGACATTTAAACCTCAGCATAATGCGATGTATTATAATGGTAGAATTATGACTACAACTTATGTTACTATATATATATGTATATTGATATATGATTCGTCTAAATAACAGCCAAACAATGTTAGATCTGTAAATTTGCGGAAGCAAATTTTTTGTTCTTCCCTGGACGGGATTCGAACTCATGATATATATATATATACAATATATATAGAAGTCTATAAAAAGCACCAACCAGCAAATTTACTATGTACCGGATCGTCTAGAATAGACGATACTGTGCAGATAAGGAAAAAGATTATATAAGTCTAGAGATTTGCACAACGATACTAATATAAGATGGTATTATTCGAAAATGTTGTTAATAAATCGTGTTGACAAATATTTCGGCTTAACAAATAGCCTTCGTCAGTGTCAATTATTTTAACAATACTACCTTTTTATAGACTTCTATATATATATATAGAAGTCTATAAAAAGGACCAACCAGCAAATTTAATATGTACCGGATCGTCTAGAATAGACGATAATGCGCAGATAAGGAATAAATTATATAAGTCTAAAGATTTGCACAACAGTTCTAATAAAAAGATGGTAATATACCAAGATGATGTTATAAAATCGTGTTGACAAATATTTCGGCTTAACAAATAGCCTTCGTTTTATGCTATTTGTTAAGCCGAAATATTTGTCAACACGATTTTATAACATCATCTTCGTATATTTACCATCTTATATTAGTACCGTTGAACAAATCTTTAGACTTATATATATATATATATATATATATAGAAGTCTATAAAAAGGACCAACCAGCAAATTTACTATGTACCGGATCGTCTAGAATAGACGATACTGTGCAGATAAGGAAAAAAATTATATAAGTCTAGAAATTTGCACAACGATACTAATATAAGATGGTATTATACGAAGATGTTGTTAATAAATCGTGTTGACACGATTTATTAACAATATCTTCGAAAATTGTCATATAAACTGAAAAACTAACAAATGAAATAATAAATGTACTTTCTTAAAGGGTAATTGTGTACTGTATAACATCAATGAAAGAAGATCTGAGACAAATGTAAATCCAACGGTAATCGAATAACACAAAAACCTATAAAAAATCTCGAGGTCAACAACTGGTCTTCACGAATACACAAGTGTCTACACAATGAGTTTGAGCTCTAAAATCGTCACGATTCTATAATGAATAACGAAGAAATTATCCAGAATCTACAATAAAAAATTCTTAATTTAATAAAAATGTATCGAAAAAGGGTTTGGCAAGACGCCTGAATGGACTTTAACAGCTTTATCGTTTTAAAGACCGTTTAAAATTGATAAATCTCATATTTTTTTTCATTTTATCAGTTAGTTTTGATTATCACAAAGGGCTTTAAAATTCTTGCAAGATCAATTGCCTGAAATGTTTAACGCTTGAATTCCTCTCTTCCTTCAAACTGATACTTTTTTTGTGTACTTTCAGTTAGATATGATTTTCTAGGAAGATTACTAAAGTACTGCTATTAAAAAGAGATGAGTTTTGGTAACATTGAATGGCATGTATTCTTTATCTATGCACAGCTTATATTATGTCTCTTAAATTAGTTTTACAAAATTTTCAATAAAATTTTTTTACAAAATTTTTGAACATCTAACATATAAGTTTGCATAATACATAAAATAGTTTAGTAACCATAGAAACTATGTTTCATACAAATTTCCTTTGAACAATCATAATGATTGAAGTTGTTTTATTACAATTCACTTGCTTCATACTAGCAAATTTTCATTAGAAATTGGTTAAAACTTTTCTTGATATGTTTGTAGAGCAGCTGAATTCGAACTCCAACTTGAAAAAGCGTTTTGGTTCATTGGACACAGCCTTTCGAAAATACCTAATACCATTCAAAATACCTAATGCTGTAAATCCATGCGGTAATATTGTTTTGGTATGCTTTTTAATGTACTTTAAAATTGAATTATAATTTACTTCAAAATGAAGACAAATATGCTGAGGTCATTATCAAATACTAGTAGAGGATTGGGATGGTGAAAACGCCATGCCTGTCACGGGGCTAACAGAGAACAGCAACATTACAAAATAATCAATGGTAATACCAGGTATATAATCTCACTTGTAATACAACTTGATTGTGTGAAATATGGAATGAAATAAGAAAGAAAACAATAAACATAAACATATCGTATAAGAGAGGCAGAAGAAACCAAAGATAAACTGACAGCGCTATGACAAAATACGAGCAACGACGAAAAAACAAACTTCGGTACAAAACACAAGGAAAACTACGAAAAAACCACCAAAAACTGCTAATGGAATTACAAATTCGGTGATAAAACTCGTTCAGTGATGTCACATTTGAGGGAAAGAGGGCGGGATAGCGGTTACAACAATTGAAAAATATCCTTTAGCATCTGTGAAACAGATGTTCCATGACGGTCAACCAACTCGTGATGTCGTCCGTAAATTTTTCGATGATACAGCTTTTGCACTTGGAACCCTTTGTTTTACAGCTTCATTAAAAGGAGCAACCCTCTTTCAAGGAAATCGTGACATGAAACCCAAGTTCTTGAATATCGTATTTACTAGGAGATATAAACTACATAGACAAGCGCTCCGGGAATGTTGCTACATAAAAATGGAAAGATCACATTTAAGAAGCTGGAATCTCTTTTGTTGTAAAGTTTTGTTCTCGACTGACCCTCAATTTCAATTTCTAATTGTGAGTTACGATATGAGTCAGATTTAAATGTATCTGTGGTTTCCTAAATTTCAAGTTCTATAGGATAAATGCGTTCACAAAAGTCACCAAACTTTCAAAAATTTAGTGAGACGCCATTATATAAATAGAGGTATGTGCAGTTTCAGGATGATGCTAGTTTCTTTTTATTCTTGCTAAGAAGCTCCTGTATGAAGTCTGTCTGCAATGAATTAAGGGACATGTCGGCAAGACGTAGAAGTCTGAATCTCGGATAATTTTAAAACAATCAAAATCTCCATTTAGGATCTCAAAATAGAAACATTTATATAAATACTGCTTACCTCGACTATTTCGTCGCTCAGGATGAGAGAATGAAGATATTTTTGCCATTGCACTTGAAACTCGTCTTCTCATTTTACTGGAGATACTACCTCTATGAGTAACTACAATAGTTCGTATATCGATTTAATAAAAATTTGACTATCAAAATAATTTGTTGGAAATAATGTGGTAATCAATATAATGGAATGTTATTCGACTGTCATGAAAGTGAGAGGTTTAGCTAGCTATAACACCAGGTTTAATCCACCATGTTTTACATAAGGAAATGCCTGTACCAAGTCAGAAATATGACAGTTGTTTTCAATTCGTTTGATGTGTATGAGCTTTTGATTTTGCCATTTGATAAGGGACTTTCCGTTGTGAATTTTTCCTTGGAGTTCGGTATTTTTGTAATTTTACTTTTTTCAAAGGATGTGTTTACAATGCTAATGTATAAGTCACTTTGTTATGCATATAAAATGTAAAAGAAGAAAAGGATGGACACAATATCATTATCTTTGCGGAATTGAAACAAGGCTGTTCATTTCTGTAATTTTTATCCCGATTTTTGCATTTATTTCAAAGGCTATTTGGAGGGTTTATTTACCACGCTCATGTTCATCAATAATTTTAAACAACCCGATACGGTATGAGGAATGTCATACAAATCTTGAAATGAGACTTACGTTGTTCGTAAAATCCAACGTCTTTATTAGTGTCCGGGGATATAGTTGGTGACGATGGAACAGATTGATACACCCTGTGTAACTTTTCAAGTCCTGAAATGATCATACCAATAAAATAGTTGTAACATTCCAAATAGTAGAAAATGAGTACATTTCTAACACGTCTTTTTATCTTAGTGGTGTAAAATTAAAATATTATAAATTTCTTTATTGGGAGGTGGCATGGTCTTAGAATCAATACATGCTTCAAAATCGACAAGTTTACTCAAAACCGAGACACAGCGTAATCTACAGATTGGTAAAGTAAAACACATAATCAGTAATTTAACGCATACTTATTTCTAACCCCTGATAAAGGACTTTTTCTAGTATTCATTTGAAGCACATTTAAAAAATTCTTTTTCAAGATAAAAAAAAAATACTAGGCAAAATCGTTTAGTTTCATCTATATTTTACGACATCTTTACACACAATAATCCTATTTCCGCGACAAGGTAACCAAGGTTACTACAGAAATAATACACATGTTTTTGTAGAAATTGACTCAAATGGGTGAACTTAGAACACTTAATTCCATATTTCCCTAAGGATCAATGACTGAACCCTCACTTAATATTTTTTTGTGGTTTGCATAGGGAAAATGGTTGATCAACAAATGAATAAACGCGTAAAACCTGAAAATAATTGCATTTCAAAGTTACCTGTATGGATTAAAATTCCCAACAGCCTTTAATGTTAATGATGAATAGTAACTATTGGGAACTATTGCTAGTTCTTGTTTCCTTTCACTCTTTCTACTTATAACTAATCATACTTTGTAGTACTTTTCAAAAATTGAAATTGGTCCAATATTTATAGGAACAAATGCTAAATTTGATATAACTCACTTCAGTATTCGAATTACAAAGCTTGGATTGAATACCAGATCACAGTAACGAGTAGACATTTCCAGTTAATTAAAAAGTTTGTTGAATGATTTAACGCTATGTAATACGTTCAGTTTTATCCGTTATCTAGATTAGATCTCGTTATAAAATGCTAAATATATGTGAATAAAAGTACAAATGACGAAGATTACTATCACTATATGCCATCACAACACCATTGATGTAAGTGATATACGTTTTTTTTTATATTTTCTCACCAGGACTATTTTTCCTTTTAGGTGTTTTCTTTGAATCTGATTTACTATCCGTATTGTGTAACATATCCCTGCTTTGAGAAGGTGATCCAAAATTACAAGGACTTGATGTCATACTTGAAGTATCTACTGGGCTTACAAAACTGCTTGCAGTAATATCTGAACCCGATTCTCTCCGTCGTCGGACAGGTAACGGTGAACTATTTTCGTCATGATCCTGCAGATCATATGTCACCACTTCATTATCAAGCTTTGAATCCGCTAAATCAAGAAGAATTTCACCCAAAAATTCATAGTCATGTCCAAGATAGTTCCAGATCGTTACCTCTAAAGATTTTTCTTCCAGCTGAAAGAAAATAAAACAATTATTCATGGTTGCAATAGTAAGTATAGATAATAGTCCTCATTTGTTTACGCTAAACTACAATGGCGATAGTTACTAATTCAGACAACATTTTCGAGTTCAAACACTTTGTTTAGTAAAACTATCATACATAGAAGCTTGCACAACTGTATTACTATAAATGAAGCTTGACCTAATTTTGTTTTATCAACTATAGGGACAAAATAACACTTCTAGATCTATAGCAAATATAAAAAGTTCAAATATAAAACATAAAAAGGATTAAAGAAGTTACCAAACAATATTTGAAATTGTAAAAAATCCCAACTACTAAAAAACAAACCAACTTCTGTCATAACGTACAATGTACAAACAGGGACAACCAACAACGAAAAAAGCATTGTCAATAAACATTGCTGGTAAAAAAAGTTTCATCCATTTTTCAATCTTTAATTGTTCTTACATTTTGTAGTTCATAAGAGAACCATTTGCACTTGCATAATTTCAATCATACGCTGTTACGCTGGAGTATACGTTATAAATTATACAATTGTAGTAAATCTAACGATGCTATTCCCTCAAGTATTAAAGATAATTACACCTTATATAAGAATGCCGGATTTTGATTGGTTGGTAGCCTGTGTATTTTTCGCATATTCTAACCTTTTTTCCTCATTTCAAACGAATTTGCCTGTTTTTCACCACTGCCGGTGAATATGCCTCAAATTCCCCTCTATGCCGTGGTATTTGCCATTTTGGATATTCCTTTTTTACCCTCGCGAGCCTCTTCCCGCCAAAATTATTCGGAACCTTTCTCACCTTATTCCGATTATTAAGGCAACATGATTAAGCAATATTGATTGATAGAGGCAATCCGAAAACTGTAAACAAAAATGTCAGACAACACGACTGCACGGCATCTCGTGATCGTATATTGAAAATGCGTTGTGTATATATAGTGCAAAAAGACGTCTATACAAATGAACGATTTAATGATGGAATGACAATGACGTTTACACAGAGATACCATGACGTCACAGCGCTAACGTGTATAAGTACATGTATAATTCCCGCGGTACTATAATAGTCTCTACTTATCCTCAAAATTATGAATAAACATGTTTATGGATTACAGCTTACATGTAAAAAAAGGATTTCTCTTCACCTGTACAGAGAGTTTCAATAAAAATCTATTCGGTGTAATTAAACAGATATATCATGTTATGGAGGGGTATTTGCGATAAATACCAGTCTTGAGACCAAATTTCTGTCGGCTCGGGAAATTTCACAGTCCCTTTACTGGTATTTTTTGCAAATACCCCTCCATTACATGATATATATGTTTAAAATCTTATACTATTTCGATTATTTCTTACGCCTCTATAGGAATTGATAACCCAAAACGATTTATGTTTTTTTCTTTCTGAAGTGCTGGTCTCGAGTACATGATGAAGTGTGTTCAAGGAACATATGTTATGCGTACTGGGATCAGTGTCGTTCGTTTAAATTTCTTAATTTACTCTTACCTCTGACTTAGAAAGGTCAAGGAGATTGAAAGTTTCTTCCCAAACAGGTGAGTTAACATTAAACTGTGGTATCGTTTCATACGGTGGAAATAAACTGTAAAACGAAACAATTGAAAATACAAAAAAATGAATAATAAGTCAGAAATAATCATGAATGAATACGAAAAATTTGTTGTACATATAACATTATCTGTCACTTTTTTGTATATTCAACCTGCAAAATTTCATTCAACAAATAACACTATTATTACGTTTTCCATCTTTTTTTAAAATTACCGTCGAGTTTATAAGCCTACCATACACACTAAATATTTATCTCACATCTATTTTTTTCATATCCTAAACTTTTTAAACGATGTCGTACTGTAAATAAAGACTGCGATAACAAGTATAAGGTATAAGGAATTCTTCCGTTTTCATAATGCCAACATAGATATAAATGGTAAAACAAGAACAGAAAAAACCCACACTCACAGGAGATAAAACCATAAGAAACTCGAAACAGTTACCGTTTATACTTTAGATAGACTTAACCTGAAGAGATATGGGTCATAGGCCTCCTCATATTATTTCATTAATTAAACAGAACTGGACTGCATTTGATACTGCATATATTTACATAATACAGAAATTGATGTTAAAGAAATATGTCATTTATAAGAAAAAGGCATAAGCTTTACCAAAAATTAACTTGCCAATTGTGAAGGAGAGGGACGAAAGATACCAGAGGGACAGTCAAACTCATAGATCGAAAACAAACTGACAACGCCAAGGCCAAAAATAAAAATACAAACAGACAAATAATAATACAGATGACACAACATAGAAAACTAAAGACTAAGCAACACGAACCCCACCAAAAATTGGGGGTGATCTCAGGTGCTCCGGAAGGGTAAGCAGATCCTTCTCCACATGTGGCACCCGTCGTGTGGCTTATGTTATTACAAATCCGGTAAATAGTCTAATTCGGTAAGTCACATTCGTGAAAAGGGAAGGGTATTGTAGTTACGACATAAGGAACATATCCGATATCATCTGTGAAACGGTTATTCCATAAAGCGTGTATGTAATAATGTGGACAAAGCCGAACGGTGAACTACAGCTGTTAACTTCTATGGCACTTGGTCTCTATTGATCATACCACATCTTCTTTTTTTTTTATATCGGAGAACATTAACAACAATCTGTTTTAAAGGCTATTGTAAACCACTAAAATGAATATGATAAGGTGGTCTGGAAATAATCTGGCATTGATATAAATATCATTAATTGTCGCGTTCATTGTCTTCTTCAGCATAAAGAAATCAAGTTTCAATAAAAACATTGTACTTTTTAAGAAAAAAATGTTCAACTAGTTTATACATTCACTACTTATACCACTATAAATACATAGTGTTTTAAAATTGGTTTCGATAAATATAATCCATCACTAACCTGTACACATTCTGTAATTGTAAAGTTTTAACATTGAATAATAAATTTAAGATCTTTACGAAGAGAAACATCAATAAATGTCTTCAAAATTCTTTGAGATGCTGTATGTATTCCCAGGGAGTGTTAGTAAAAACGTGACAATCAATCTAAAGGTCCCAGAGGCCTTTTTCCAATACCAAAGATTTAAAAGCTTATGATATTCCATAGAGTTCACATGAAACGATGTATTGAAACTTTAAAAAACAAATTTAGAATTTAACCAATATAGAATTGAGACAACGAGAACTTAATATAAAATCCATTAATTGTCATATTGCATACTTTATCGGAGTATTTATAGATATTTATATTTCTTTGGCGAAAATAATTTCTAGTATTAATTGTCTCGAACGACAGCACGTCTGTGATCAGAAGTGAAATTAGGGTCTAGTTATATCTTCCATTATTTCCTGTTTGTCATAAGAAGACACAAGAAGAACTTATTCTAAAAGAGAGGCGAAATATACTAAAGGAATAATCAAACTCATAAGGCGAAAACGAACTGACAATACCATGGCAAAAACAGTAAAAGACAAAAAGACAAACAGTATACAAAACACCACACAGAAAACTAAAGACTGGGCAACATGAACCTCACAAAACCCTTGGGGTGATCGCGGTGCTTCGGAGGGATAAGCAGATTCTGCTCCAAACTAAGCACAAAAACCATGTTTCTTTACACAATCCAACCGATCAAAGAGTAAAACGTAAGGTTTAAAAATTGTTTACCTCCTGTCGGGCAAAATGTGTACCATTGCAATAGGATTCATGTCCGCCACAGACAATCGATCTGGAGGTTTAAGAGTTTCTGCGCTAACAAGATTCACAGACAAACATTCGTCTTCTTCATTATAACCTAAACTGAACTGAACTTTGCCAGTAACTGGTCGGTCTTCTTTCTTAATCTCTAGCTAGAAAAAGAAAATTTATTTTTCAAAACAATTACATATGATAAACTCATCATAAATACCAGGCTTAAAATTTGTATGAGGTTAAAAAGTTCTTTGTCTTATCTGCCATACAGACAATAATTACGCATCATCATTTACATATATCATTTTATTTAATAAACAAAATCTTGACCACAATATTGATTTAAATAAATATTAGCTGCATCGAATTACAGTTCATACCATTAACAGAACGGAAAAGATCTTGTTTAACTTATGTTATTCTTAGAAAACCAAGCATGTGACTAATCACATTTGACAAGTGCAAAAATATGTCAGTATTGTAATGGAAATGTTATTGGCATACCGGTGTTTTAGGCAGCATTCTCCTTTTAGGCTTTTGTAACGGAAGTGTCTTTGGTGGTTCAAGGACGGGCGAATTAGACTTTGTCATTCGAGATGATACGACCACAGGTATATCAACTGATGAATTGTTTCCGTTGCTTTCTGTTCAAAAAAAGAAGCAATGTTCTCTGTATTAAATACAATTTATTTTAATTATAGTGTTTCATTTTGTAGCTTATTTCTAGAAAAAAATTTCTATCAGTATTATCAACTATACAAAATTGTGCTAAATTCATATTTGAAACGTAAGTAAGATTGGCAATTTTTAACTATCAAACTGTACAGAAAAATGTCCAATAATATGCATACCAAGGAGTTTAGATATTTCATCTTCAATATAATAAAGTAACAACATATTAAAGCAAATAAAAATGTTCTTACTCTATCTCATTTTTTTTCTCACTGTATATAATACTGAAATAGGAAATCTGCACATTTCCAATCTTCAAAAATAAGATCTTTAAACCGCTTCCGTAAAATGTCTATTTAAAAAAATCTTTGCCTAATATAAAACCTGATATAGTTTATTGTAAGTTCAATGCGATCGGTTACGAAACGATTTATTTATCTTTTATTTGTGTTAATGAACGTATTGAGGCGAGTTTTTCTTTGTAATAGAGAAAACATAGTATTTCTATTTTCCAGCAATGAATATATAATTAATTTTCAATAGCAGCGCATTCTCCAAATCTTGTACAAATAATAGCTAATTTTCTACCATAGGTAACTTCTTTTCAATTTTGCGGAGACCGTGTCAATATATACACGCAAGTAATAACTAATTTTCTAGCAAAGGTAACTCCTATTCAATTTTATGGAAACCGTTTAAAAAAATGGTATTGAAATCATAAGGTATTGTCACATTCAATAAGCTGATTTCATGTGATTCCAAATACTTATTTTAAACTCTTCCAGAGCTCTTAGTTAATGTCACTTGCAAAATCTTTATTAGTATACTCATTAATTTAGATGGAAATGAGCCAAACTTTAATGTAATTTAAAACAGATCGCGTCAATATATACACGGTACTCTTTGGAAAATGTATACAAACGATTCTAGCGTGAATAATCAACTGTCATTGTTTGACTTGTTACTGCTACTGTAGAATAAAATGTAATTTAAACGAAATGTACAACGCGCCAAGAACCTCCATCACATATAACGGTCGTACAATCCTAATTCTGGATCATTGACCATAAGTGTGGGTATAAATTAGACTTATCAGGAAATAATTGGTGATAAAGTGAAATCTGTTTAAGGAAGATACCAAAAAGTAAAATAACAAAATACCGAAATCCAAGGAAAATCCAAAACGGAAAGTCCCTTATCAAATGGCAAATCAAAAGCTCAATCACATTAAACGAATGAAAAGAAAATATCTGACTTGTTTTCTTATGTTACTTCGACACAATTATTCCAATTTTGAGTATTATTATTCCCTTTGTTAAATAAAGAGACCTTTAATTATGGAGTGTACTGTAATCAATTAAATCACTGTATATACCTATCGCCCATATTGGTTTTGACACTGTTCTATTTCTTCTATAAAAATCGTCTTCTTTTCTATAAAAAATAACAAAAATACTAATCGATTAGACATTAATTGTGCAGAAGATTACAAAAATGTGCGAACAGAAAAAAAAATATCTGATGATGTATGACTGTGTGCTAAAAACAACAACTTTTAGTTGTCTGATCCTGAAATCAATATTTCAACCATTTAAATGTTTTCAGTCGCGTGTTATTCTACTTGGTCATAGATTTTGAATATTAAAGAACAGAACCAGAATACATTTAGAACATTTATAATTACCTTTCAGGAAAATGTACTACAAGCAACTGAACAAAGTCTGTACTTTGACTCATGATGTCTCGAGATTCTTCAAAAGATACATCTATGAGAGATTTACCGTTCCAAAATAATATTTGGTCACCTAAAAAATAAAAATATTTAAGGTTCTGTCGTTAACAATAAGCAAATGATTGTAATCACTTCCAAAATGTTTTCCCAATGGTAGAATCATGCACATTTAATTATTTTTATGTGTCTGTGCTAATAAGGTATGTTTTTATTTTTAAAGATAAATATTAATGTTCAGTCTAAAATAAAGTGTAAAAGACAGGCGAAAGATACCAAAGAGACATTCAAACTCATAAGTCGAAAATAAACTGACAACGCCATGGGGTTGTAGTCACGACATTTTGAACATAACCGCTATCAACTGTGAAACGGATATTCCATAACGGCCAACCAACTCGTGATGACGTCCGTAAAATTTATGAAGGGATGATTTCAACTTCACCTCTTGGAACTCTTGGTTTAATAGCTTCCCTGTGAGCAGCAACCCTCTATCAAGGAATTCATGATAGGAAATACAAGCCCGGGAATATCGTATCAACTAGGACATATATACTCCGTATGCAGGCGCTACTGGAATGTTGATACATAGAAATGGAAAGTTCACAATTGGGAATCTGAAATCATCTCTTTTGTCGTAAGTTTTGTTTTCAAACGACCTTCATTGTCAATTTCTAGATGTAAGTCAAGATATGAGATAGACTTAACTGTATCTGTTGTATCCTTTATCTTTAGTTCGATGTGATAGATGGGTTCAACATAGTCACCAAATTTTGAGTTATTTAGTGAGAGAACATCATCTATATAGCGGAAAGTAAAGTTAAAAGATACTGCTAACATCTTTTCTTTCTTCCTAAGAAGCTCATCTATGAAGTCAGCATAATATGAATAAATGAACAAGTCGGCAAGAAGAGGGGGTACAGTCAGATGGGAATGCCGATTGTTTGTTGAAAAACACGTCCTCCAAACGTAACAAATATGTTGTCAATCAAGAAATCAAGCATCGTGATGTCAGTTTCAGAACATTTTTTGTTTGAATCAGATATTTTTTACAAAGTAGGATTTATCCCTCCCTAAGACAAAATACTTTTATTTACGTTGGCCATTCTTTTTTATGAAACATAACAGGACCAACTCTTTCAATTAGTCTTTTAGTTTGGAATTGGGGAATACTTGTGTAAATTATAAAAAAGTTAAATGTTTTAATACTATTGCAAGATGAAAGAGTCTTAGATTGTATGTACTCTAAAAGATCTTTGGATTTTTTTAGTATCCACATCAGGATAAACGCCACCTCTAGAATAGATATTTTTGTTAGATATTTTTATAATTTATTTGTTTGTTATTAATTCTTTATCTTTCGCTTTTAAAATAGTGATTTCATCTAACATATTCTTTACGTCAAATGTACTAACGAGAGATAAATACCTTCAACTATATCATATGAATCTGCTGGGCCTTTTTTCTCTACATATGTAACATAAGCACCAAGTCCACCATCAGGACCACGTTTCCCACCTATCACACGCATGCCTAGTCCGTGATCTGATAAATAAATGCATGAAGTAACACATATTTTGCTGTTAGCTTTTATATTACACTTTATGATAGTTGTAATTAAAAATATACATTTCCATACATGCATCTTCTTGTTGACTGCTGTACCCCATTTTTGACATTTTTACCTATTATGTCTGTTTGTTTTGTTCACACATTGTTGTCAGTAAAATGGAATTTTATGCGACTGCCATACAAGTGAGAGGTTTAGCTAGCTATAAAACCAGGTTTAATCCACCATTTTCTACATAAGGAAATGCTGTACCAAGTCAGGAATATGACAGTTGTATTCCATTCGTTTGATGTGTTTGAGCTTTTGATTCTGCCATTTAATAAGGGACTTTTCTGTTTGAATTTTCCTTAGAGTTCGGTATTTTTGTTATTTTACTTTTTTCTTCAACGTGCATAGTAAAAATTTAAGCTGATGAAACAATAAAAGTGTTTTGTGCTCTGATATCAAATTTAAACGCTTATGTTTAAAATGGTGAAAATTTCGCTGAACTTACTGTAAAAATAATGCGATGTGTATGATTACCAATGAGAAAACTGTCCATCAAAGACCAATTCATACGACAAACAACTTAAGGTCAATGGACGGCCTTCAATAAAAACCCTTTTCGTATAGTAAGCTATTAAGTCAGAATTCTACTTCGTCAAAATTATCTCCCTTTAATGCCACACAAATTTTTCAATCGTAAAAATGGAAGCTTTTGTAGGGATGACGAGCTTAAAACTATTGTCTAATCGGTTGTCAGGAGGAATTTTCGAAAGTATTTCGTGGAAGGGTAGACTAAAAAATAATGTTATTATATCAAACTGTAGCCTAAATATATAAAAATAATAGAATCTGAAGCGAGATATTGTATCAAACATTCTTGCTTTATACGTTTTCAAGACAAAATACTCAACTCAAACACGCCTGAACATAAAAGGTGTGCTCGACTTATCCTTTTCAGTGAAATTATTGCCCTTTTTTAGGATTTTTTTCCCGAAACACTGTCGACGGGGGCAGAAATGCAAATTAATGCTTTAAAAAGATCAATCTTATGTCTTTCTGAGCAATTTTTTTCGGAAAAATTTATGCTTATGCTAAAAAAAAAATCTACATGTATTCACACCTACCACAATCGACCGTTTTGTGAAAATTTGTCTTTAATTTAAAAGTTAACAAATATCCCGAAGCTCCATACTATAATTTAAGTAAAATCACGTACATCAGATGCATAAAATCCTAAAGTATGCACTAACATTAAATTTTTAAAGCCCATAGAAACAGATGTAAACAATTCAAATATACCAACTTGGTCTGTTTTACCTTCTGTAATAAAGAGTTCCATTTCTTTTGTTTAATTTCAACTTGATATCAGCCTGTATTATAAAAACCTAGGGATAACATAACGAAAAAAGGAGAAAAAAAAACTGACCTGATTTAGCTGATTTTAAAACACACTTCGCTTGTTAATTCTTTATTCATTATAAACACTTATTTTATAAATTCTTTTAATAAAAAAACATCCTAAATTTTGTTTTAAGTATGTATAGCCATTTAGTTTTTCCTTCGGTGATAACTGCTGAATTCCTGAATCCATCGTTTGTAATAATTGTCACTGCATTTTTGGTTGTTTTTTTTTAAGTAGTTTATTCCTAGCATTTTATTCAAATGATTGCCTCTTCTTGCTAGTATGCTTGTAGAAATACGTTGGTTTGTTGATTTTATCTTGTGGTAGCTTATGCATTCGATACTGTTTAATAAAAAAAGTATAACAAAAATATCGAACTCCAAGGCAAGTTAGAAAAAAGTGGAAGTCCATAAAAACTGACAAAATCAAACGCCATAAATCAACGGAACCAGTGAAAAACAACTGCCATGTTCCTGACTCGGTGCAGGCATTTCCCTGATGGATTAAACCTGGTTATATAGGTAACTAAACCTCCCACTTGTATGACAGTTTTTTTTATAGTTTCGTTTTTTTGACAAGATTGGGCGAGCAACTCAAACAGACACAACAGGTCAATGTGACAATAATTGGGATCCAGCATCCAAAACTGCAAACACACACCACAGACACACAACACAACTGGCAAAACTATAAAGTTATGTCAAAAATTAAATAAACTTACGTCGTGGGCTGTAAGGCACGCTATCTCTGTACAGTAATACTTCTCTTGGCTTCAAGTTATTGAAATAATCTAGAAAAAAAACATGCATGGAGGATGTATACGTCTATCAAATAAGTTTTATCATGTCTAGTTTTTAGATCTGTCATTTCTATGTTTGCACACTTTTCAGTTTCCTCGAAAGAAATGAACGAAGTGAATTATTGACGTACTAATTGTAAAGATTTTTTTTGTGTTGAAAATTCATGCATAATGTAAAGTAACTATATTACATAACCAATGTTGTAGTTCAATTGAAGTATTATACTTTGAATGGCTGTTCTTTAAATCACAAAAGATCAAATACCTCAGCAGAATTAACATATTGAACTGAAAATCGATTCTGTTATCTACCATTATTGCCAAAACAAAATAACCGTAAAGATCTTATTTCGAAAGGTCTCTGTTATTACCAGAAACCCAGATAGGTTTGTCGTGCATTAAATTATATTATGTTTGCTTCATAATATTTTCATACTTGTTAAAGTCATAAAAAATATTACTTGTTCTAATGTTCCATCTCTTAAATTGTAATAATACAAGAGAACTTTCATTTTTTTCATATTAACATTATGAAAAAGAGATACAGTAAAGATGTGTACAGATGTGAAAGACTTATTCAATCTTATAATCAATATTCAATTTCTAAAGGATTTTTCAAGTTAAACGATCTAGCTATCCATTTTCCATGATCAAAAGACTAAAATAACAGAAGCCATATATTTGAGGCATAATCTGTTCCTCTGATTTAAAGGATTTTTTTCTGACAACGATTAAAAAGATGTTTTTTCTCCATCTGTTATTGCGTTCATTTTTCTAAACAGTGTTTAAATACTAAGTGAAATCAGCGTAGTGTGATTATAAAACACAAATGTAGTTGAAAAAGCTCTTGAACTCATTTAGTCGCGTTTCTTTGCATATTTATATCATTGTCCTAGTCCTACAAGTTAAGAGATACATATTTTATTATCAAGAGTAAAAACAGCAGTCTTCCATAGGTTAAACTAATAAAAGGTATCGATGTAACAGGAAATTTTACTAAAATATTTCCAGCATGTACAGTGCAGTTGAACAAGGTTTTCACTTAGAAATCAAAGTAAACGCTATGATTTAAGTATGCTCTTTCAAATTATATGTACAGATCTAACATGACATTTTCTGTTTTGCAATGTTATGTAAAGTACTATAAAAAAGACCAATCTCCGTTCTTCAGTATGTTTAAATCTTGTAATATAAATAGCTTATAATAACTGGAAGATGTTCGTCAAGATATAAGTTAATATAAATGTACAAACAAATATATCTACAACTAGAGCTGTAATATACACGAATCACATTTGCTAGTCTAGAATACTAGATCGGAAACGACTCAAGAATAAAAAAGATATATAAAAGAATTATAGTTGTCTTGTTACAATAATACAATGACCCGTTGTCAATTGTAAAGCCAGAATGCAATTAAACGTATATTAGAATGACTCCAATCGGCCTGATTTGACACTACTATAATGAACGAATACCTACAGGAATAGTTGATTAGAATAGGTTTGAGATCATCGTTCAAAAATACAATAAAAATAACGGCGATCCACAATAATTGTCAAAGAATACAATGTCATAAGGTATTGAAAAGAGACACCTACTAGAACATGATTATAGACTATATTTAAGATATTTTATGAGTTATGGTTAAAAAAGAACTTAAGTGAGAGGTAAATTTGACGGACATTTTATCTGAATCAAAATGCTTCACATATAATCCTTTATAATGTTACTATATCAGATTATTTATAAAATTTAATATCCATTTTTAATTTTTTTTATGAATTTTTTTTTATGAATAAAAAATATTTTGATGATTTAGCAATGACTAAGTGTGCGATTAAAATATATTATATCAATTCAATGCAAGAAGACAAAATTGAATTAGTAAAACATTTTCATGGTCCGAGAATTTTTTTCTGTTTGTCGTTTTAATCGTATTATTAAGTTCTTTGAATGTGATAGCAATGCAAATTAGATGTATATATTAATTTAACACCATTCAGAGACAACATTCTTATGATTCTTGTCGAAGCTTTTTTTGCAATAGGATTGAGGGAATTAGCTATACCCTCTTCATACTTTGTCTAACATTCGATATTTTACATTGTTTACTAACATAATAATAGGAAGGAAATTTTGAAATAACATATAACATTGTATTATTTTTATCTACACCTGTGACCGTACCTCTATAATACTGACTCGCATCTGATTGTGTCGACCGCCTAGATCGTATGGATTCATCTGAGCAACGTCTGCTATTACTTTCTGCTGCATCCACCTGAAGTTGATTTTTTTGTTCAGAGTTGTTAGCATATTCAAGATAATCCGCAGATGAAGCTCTCGATCTCTGGCGTGGTGTTTCACTTTTATATTTTCTGCTGTTTGATGGTGATGGTGCTGGTGATAATGACTGACGACGTCTACGGTTTGTTATCATGTTTTCTGATAAAATACTGGAAGAACTACTAAAGCATACTGCATCTTGCCGATGTATTTGTGACGAACTGGTGGTACTTTTTGAAATTTGACCCTCCGATAATGAGTCATATGGATGGAAGAAAACACAAACACCTCCATTATTTGCCGAATGGACGGATTCGTTGGATGAACGTCTACATTTATCATCAAGATCGTCAATGCTCAGTGTTAGATTGTTAGAATTTGCACTAGTTTTGCCCTTAAAATTATGCAAGCATTTGTCCTTCGCACGATTCAAGTTTGCATTGTTTTTGTCGGAACTTAAATATTGTTTTCTTTTCTCCGAACCTTTTCGTCGTCTACTGTTTTTGATTTCACGTGGTACATTTAAATGGTTATTAGAAATGTAGTCCATCTCTTCGTCAGTTTGATTTTCTGAATTTGAATCTGAATGTTCCTGCCATTGCATCTTATGGCGTTTCTTTTTTACATCAGACCTACTTGTATGACGCCTAGAATTTCTTCTAGGGCGCCTTTCATAATGTTCACCATTATCACTTTCAAACTCGCTCACTTCAATTGTTGTACTTGCAAACATACTACGCCTTCTTGGTATTTGTTGACTGACGTTTTTGTGGTTTGTTCTATTACGTAAAACCTCTGTATCAGTAGCTGTTTCTGACGCAGATTCTGAGGCTGATGAACACGTCTGTTTTCTAGAGAACTCCTTAAATATATGAATGAGATTAAAATACTTATGTGTTAATTTAAACATTTGACGACATGTGGGCATTGGTAACGAAAATATATCTGTCATTTCGTCATTTGACGATGTGTTTGATCCATTTCATAATAAAAATGAATTTCACCTATGTCATTGAAATATCAAAAAAGATATATCATGGTCGTAAGACGACGGTTTTTTTTTAGATATGAATTAGACATTCTTTATACATATATGTGTTTCATTCAAACTTTTTATGTAAGTAAAGTGTATCCATCATATCATAAAAAGGCTACCATTGAACAATATAATCGGCTTCCAATACACAACAGTTGATAAACCAAAGGACTGGCATTTTAACAGTTATTTATGTATTTTTGGTAACCGTGTGGTAAATGCTTAAAACTTGGCAAATTAAATTAGAACATGACATGTTCACACTCTTAGGTGATATATTTCCAAATAAAGACACAACACTTCTTTGTGTAAGTTCAATTGTCGGTCTCAAGTACTAAGTCACCTGTGTTTCTACTCTTTTTTAAGAACAAAAAAAAAATGCAAGTTAAAAATGATTTGACATCAAGTCTTCGACAAAAATAAATTTAAGATCGCAATCTTCTGGTTCTTTACTGCATAATAAAAGCATTTTAGTGTCATAAAACGAATAAGACACAGAATTTACTTTTACGAGGGCTGAGTGGTACTAAATAAGGATGTGCTATTAGACCTTCTCAATAATTGTCGACAATTATTGAAAAGGTCTAATAAAAATCCTTATTTAGTATGTCAACACAGAAGTTCGAATTACTTGGTTAGTAATACTCTCTTGAACGAGACGCCCACTACAGTGTAGTAGTGACATCAACCCAGTGGTTTTAAAACCCATCAACGATACTAGGCTTATGATTTGACACGTCAGACGCGCATTTCGTCTACATAACATTCATCGTTGACGCTCGAATGCTAATAGTATTAAACAAAAAAACCTATACAAAACATTGAAGGAATATATTTCATCTTCAAAAATGAAATTCTACTATACTGAGGCTAAGGCTAGTAAAAAGATGCTGTTAAAATAATGTTAAAATAAACGGTTCAAATATCTAATGTTTTGTTTGAAATATCATTGATTTTAAAAGTTATCAAGTTATTCCGTATTACTTCTTCATAGATAGAAGTCAATGTAACATTTTGTCAAACTTTATGGTGTTCCTTAATCTACAAGTTCTACCTCAATTTGAACTGTATCTACAGTAAGGAGCTCAAAGGATTGAAACAAAAATAAATAATTAGTTTCCTATTACCAATATTTATCTTTTTTAAATAAAAATTGTATAGAAATATATCATAGTCATCGAAAATAAAAAGGGTCTAACGGAACTATAAACAACTGTCATATTGCGACACCAACTACTAGTAATGACACCTACAGTTTACAGGTGAAATGGAGGGTTCGTAGCATATAAAACAATTATTGAGAAATAACATTACATATACATAATCGATTTAACGGTATTTGACTATTTCTCTCTCTCTCTCATATATAAAACTCATTTCATGTATCTAAACGAATTTTCACGTTGAATTGTATTAACCTTCAAGATCTTAAAAACTTAAAGATTATACACATTACACACAGATAAATTTGCTCTTTTCGCTAGCTCTTCATTTTCAATAACAGTTTATGCCCCTCCCAACGGAAACAACTTGTACAAATGGAACTCTTATTACAGGGCCAATTAAATAATTGACAAATAGACTATTGTAGAGACACGTGCCATTCTTGTCAATAGGTGTCAAACATTGTTTGATTACACTAAATCATTTTATAATTTTATCAATGAATCTAGAAGCTCGTCCTCTAAAAAGATGAAACGAAATATTGAGACCCTTCAATTTCGTCATGCTAAACTCAAAAATAATAAAATTTTAATTAACAAATGCTTTACAACCAAAACAATAAAAAAGTGTAACAAACGTACATGCGAACTACATTTTTTCAAACATGTAACCTACTAGTTATATTTATATAGGATCATTGTTATTTTTGAGACGATCCCTGATATTTTACCTGTCGGTGTCGATTTAGCTGATTTTGCTTACCCTATTTCCACACTTGATCTCACTCGTTCTGAATTGCATGTCATTCCTTTTATTTGTACACGATAACTGTTGTTTATTCTGAAAGTAATGGTAATTCAACTTCAAAAGTTTGAGTAACTCGATAAAATTGTATGTGCAATTGTGTTGGATACATTTTTGTACTTTCTTAAACTGCAGATTCTAGTAATACGATATCTAATATTGGCGAATACTTTCAGGTTCGGCAGATAACATGGTCACCGTCTATTATATTCATCCGACAAATTTATTTCGTAAGTATTGAGTCTGTCCTGGGCAATAACTATGTATACGGTAGAAGCCATCTCAACTCAACTCAACTCTGTCAATGTAGTATGTATACCTTTAAGATAAGTTTTAGATGAAAAGTAATATTTTCAAATCCTTTTCTTCTGGAATATGATGTCTATAGTCGAAAAGTAAACCTTTAGAAAAAAAATAGCATAAAATTTGAAACTTAGAAAACTAAAGACTGAGCAACATTTACCCAAACAAAAACCGGGGGTGTTCTCAGGTGCTAAGTCTAGGAGACGATCACATGTTCTGGTTTTTTGACACCCATTAAGGAAACGCCGTTTGGTCTGACTTCCGAAGGAAAGATATTTTATGACGTTTTAGTTTCTCGTCTCGCATATATCGATGTTAATATGTGTGATGAGTTCTAAATCTGAAGTACACAAATAAGTTTCTAAGTGTGTCAATATGCCTTTAAAATGTAATAGCAAAATCTGTACAACAGAGAGTTTGTGTGGATTAATTATCAAGTTTGAAGCATTTACTGAAGTAAAGGTAAGATATTTGTTGAATGTCAGTACTCAAGCTTAATATAGAAATAGGGAGATTGTTACCAATGAGACAACTATCCACCAGAGTCCAATTGACGTGGATGTTAAGCAGCTATAGGTCACTGTACAACCTTAAACAGAACGAAACCCGTAAGTCAGCTATTAAGTCAAGTTTTATAAAAGAATCTTTTAATTTTAACGTGCATGTTCACACTATACGGACTTCATATACAGGAGTGTGCTCCTTACGCAGAAACTGCTCCAACAAAGATGTTATTTTATGGTCTTAAAGATTAGCTTCTGTCCAAGTTTCATAACAATCTATGAAGGTTTACAAATTCAAATTGTCCAAAAAGATTATTCCCAGACAGTCTGTAAATGTTAACTTTAAAAAAATAAGTCTATCTATCAGAATTATATTGAAAATGAAAAAAATATATTTTCAAAAGTTTGCTTCACGTATTATCTCTTATTCATTAATAAAGCTTCTGCCAAAGTTTCATAAAATTCTATAAAGGTTTGACAAAGTAACTAATGTGTAACAAACTTAAACCCCATACTGAATCTACTTGTAAAATGTACAAAAAAAACTAAGTCTATTTCTCAGTAAAATACGAAAAAATGAAAATAAATATTTTCAAAATTTTGCTCTGGGTACTCTTTTGGTCAGAAACAAGCTTCTGTCCAAATTTCTTAAAATTCCATGAAGGTTTGACAAAGTTATTTTTATGTCTAAAAAAACTTTAACCTCAGACCGAACCTAAATGTTTACGTGACAAAAGTCACGTGTGATGTCAATGTGATGCCAAAATATGTTGACATTGACATATTTGATCTAAAATGGCCATTCCAAACATAGTTTTTGGGCAAAAAATACGAGCAACAGCCTTACCTAAGCAGATATTTTACACCGCTTGACATCAGTATAAAACACAATTTGTAGCAAAATATCTTTTTGGTACAGTTGTTGCTCATATCTAAATATTAATGACAATATCTCAAAATGAGGCTATTTTTGCAGTTTACACAGTTTTGCACTAAATTCCAAAAATGTAAAGCCCTAAAGTAAATAGGTCAGACAAAATTCTAAAATATAAATACTGATGTCTGACAGATTAATGTCTTATGAACATCTGAAATACAAATAATCATATTATTTCAGGTTAAAATGATTGATTTACGTTATTTCAAAATAGTAACACTTATGAATAACATTATATGGTACTAAAATCATAAAAGTACAAAAGATTTAAAAAAAAAGTTTAAATTGTCATCAATGAGACATAACCCATTAATTATTGAGTTTTTACAACCACTAGGTCGATGTACATGCATTTGATATGATATAGTCCAAAATGTCTCATTACATATTTTAAATTAAAACTTTGTTTCCCAGAAGTTAAGAAAGAAAATTTCTTTTTTAAATTCCAGTCACTACGTTTTGAGGTCACCACCTCAAGTTCAAAGAAACATTTGTAAAATAGTATAATGCCTAAATGAGTAGATCAATATAAGAGAGAGGCAAATGATCATAAAGGGACATTCAAACTGACAACGCCATGGCTAAAAAGACAAAGACAAACAAACAACAGTACACAAAACACAACATAGAAAACCAAAGACTGAGCAACACGAACTCCATCATACACTGGGGGTGATCCCAGGTGATCAGTAAAGTTGACTTTAGATGGATTTGGGTATTACTGTTAGATCCCTTTTCGTCGTATAGCTCTCAAAATATGTCGGTTCTTATACATCCTTGGCTTTAATATAGTTGGTTTTGAGTGTTCCTGATGAAGGTTAATTCACAAAAGCGCTTCGGACGCTAAAATGTATCAGTGTTATTTTGATTTTTTACCAAGCACTTTACTTTGCTTTCCTTTAACACGTTGGGTGGGATTTAAAGTAGTCTAAGAAAAATGAAAAGAAACGGAAAAATCTACATGTATGGATGGCTTTTATAAGTAATCAAATTCGATTTTTACTACAATTTTCTTCAGATAAGATTTGTTTGTCATTAACAGTACATTCGAATGTAAATCTACACAAAAGACAAAGAATGGACTTAATATAATTGAAATTAATCACATAAACTTTGGTAAAAAAACAAGTAAAATAACAAAAATACTGAACTCCAAGGAAAATTTAAATCGGAAAGTTCCTTATTAAATGGCAAAATCAAAAGCTCAAACACATCAAACGAATAGAAAATAATTGTCATATTCCTGACTTGGTACAGGCATTTCCTTATGTAGAAAATTGTGGATTAAACCTGGTTTTATAGCTAGCTAAACCTCTCACTTGTATGACAGTCGCATAGAATTCCATTATATTGACAACAATGTGTGAGCAAAATAAACAGACATAATAGGTAAAAATGTCAAAAATAGGGGTACAGTATTCAATATTGTTTTGTTATCTTAATCACTATAAAAACAAGCAAATATGTCAACAAAGAAAAACAAAATGGCATATAGACAAAGCACATAAGCAAAAAAGACAGACAAGAATACAAAAAATGACCAAAGCACAACAACACATTGGCGGGATGCATAAGTACCGAGCCACGCCAAAATGATATTACCAAAAATGGACTCAACAGTAAAGGTTAATAATTTACAAACACAAATAAAAGAACACTATAACACGTAATTAAGATGATAAACAACGTCTATACTTCAAGACCATCATGTATATTTGTGACGTTGATACGGAATATCAAGTTATCTACAAATTAGACCAAATCTTTCATTGTAATTCAAGCATTTATTCAAACAAATGGCTATGTTATCCTAAATGCCTTTTCTTTTACTCCACATTATAACTTAACCTTCCTGTGTCATGATCAATACAAAACTCTTTGTCATACCATTATAACACAGATTTGTTGACAGAACTTAGTCATTACCGGCAACAGTTGTAGGTTAAAGATCTTTTAATCGGTTTATTACATAACAAAATTGACATATACCATCATTTTAGACAAAAGTACCATATGTATGAAAATGGAGACAAGATTGTTTTTAAAATTACATCAATAATTTTGTTGTTAAAAATATGACAAACTTGTTCATGTAGCATGTGCACAGCATATCTGGACATCCATTTAAGGACTAAATAGATCTTGTAAAACATTAAGTAAATAAACTCATCATAGATACCAGGATTCAAATTTCGTACGCCAGACAGGCGTTTCGTCTATAAAAGACTCTAATAGAATAAAAAAAGGTTAAAAAGGCCAAATGAAGTATGAAGTTGAGCATCGAGGAACAAAAGGTTTTGCCAAATATCCTTACTTACAAAAATGTATAACACCGATGCAAAACTATTAAACAAATTGTCGAATCAATCGTCTTCAAGTATCTACTACAACTATTTACTATTCTTAAAGATTGAAGCTATTAATATGTTTATCTAATACCTTTCCGTGAGTTGATGATTCCGCATTTGAGAGTATCTAATATTTAGGACCAAGTTGTTGAAGAATTTATACGAATGATCTTACCTTAATATCGGAAGAATCAAAATCTATAGTATCTAATATTCTGAACCTATTTGTTCAAGAATCTCATTATATACTAAATAAATGATCTTACCTCAATATCTGAAGAATCAACATCTATAGTATCTAATTTTTCGGTAAAGGCCTGTTTATTTAAACTTGGTTGTGCTTTATGTCCGTGGTACCATTCTCCTGTTTTACACAGCAGTTCTCGTTTCAGTAGACACATGTTACATTGCCATCTGCCTCGGCCTCTCTGAAATCAATGATTTGTTCTGGTCAATAGTGTTATATATTTACAAATAAATAAATCTTCTGTCATCCTACAAGTAATTGATAGCTTTCTTGGTGTAATAATTATTGATAGTTTAATGAAGTGATCTTTCATTGGAATTCGTGTAATCTTTATTACTGATGCACTGTCCAAATGGCTCGAGTTTGTAAAGAAAAATTAGCATGTAATAAATGTGTTTTTGTATATTTCTGTTGCAAATGACAGAAAAAGAAAATTTCTCGGTTACTATATTTAACGTTTTATTAAATGTATTTCAAAAACATTTGGGAAACTCTACTGGTAATTTTTTTTCGAGCGAGCACCAAATAAATCTACCCGGTATTGCGTAAGTGTCGGTTATAATAAAGGAGTTCTCTACATTTATTTCCCACAGGGTTGTATGTTAAGATATGAGGCAGCGATCTCGGATACCATAACGACAAAAATAGCAAAATGTTATAATGCTGCATTTTATCGATTAAACTTTGCAAAGGTTTGAGAGAAGTAGTTGTTCAAATGTTTCCTCTATTGTCTTTATTAAAATCAGCTTCGTTAACCTGGCTATCTTGGATTTTTGATCGCCAACATAATCGCAATGTATTCAGTTCAGTATATTGGCATTTATGAACTAGAAAATTTTGGCCAGTAAGAAATCAGCAATCACATTTTGCAATTTGTATCCTGCCAAATTCGACTGTACATTTACCTTAGTATAGGATGTTTGTAATGAGTTTTAAATGCCACTATTAAAACTACTCTGAACAGCAGAGCTTTTTAACTTTCTTTGGGACAGAAAATTTTCCATGAAAAACAAGATTATAAAAAGAGTTCTACTGAACAGATCTTCAACAAATCACTGAGATAACAAAATATTTTATACAGTATATAAAATATATAAATCACAAGTAGACAAGGTTAAGATAAATCCCTGTGGTTAATGGAAACCTCGAACTAATCCTTTCTCAACATACAAAGTTGACATGTCGTCTGAAGCACAAGTGTAAAGTGTCTGTATCGATTAGTTTCCGAACATGTCTCATACGACGACTACTCTTCGCGGTGCTTTAAATAACTTACATGAGCACGAGCAGTGCTCAGAGTTTTACAGTCTTGTTGTAGTATGTTTAAGGTGAGCTTAAAAGAAATAAGCTGTTTGCCAGCCAATCAATGTCTCAGTAATGTATACCATTTATGAACGTGGAGCTTGAAGGCACACAGAACTATTCCAGTAAATACTGAGATTATCTTATCATTCAAAGATACAACAACCAGAACTATTACAGCAAATACTGAGATTACCTCATCATTCAAAGATACAACATGGACAATGTGTGTCATGATTTATTCAATAGCAAACACAGTTAAACAAGTAGACCTTAATTTATTTCTAAGATGTTATCAAATTTGATAAACAAGAGAGAGTTTATTATCTATCATACGTCTCAAACATTCCTATAACAGCTGTTACCATCCGTCCAAATCCCTTCTTCATATGTGCTTCACTTCAACTAGAACATGGGTTTGACCATTAGGCCCTACGACCTACTCGTGTCAGGGCCATTTAATGTCAACTATACGGTATAGGGTTTTCTTTGTTCAATGCCTATTATTGTTCACTACCACTTCATTTTAACTCTGGTGGATAGTTGTCTTATTGGCAATCATACCACATCTCCTCAATTTTATACAGAAAGTCACGTAACACATACCAAGGGTTCATGGAGGAGAATGGAATGTGATCATGAATAATTATTTTCCAACTGACGCTACTACAAGAGGGAAACATGAGCTTCTCGTGGTGCTAGGGGAAGGAGATGCCTGATCCTGGTCCCCCCATTACGATGAGATGGGAAAGTTGGATCATGCCATTTTTTCCGGGGGTAAAACTATGTCGATCCAATATGGCTATAGAACACCGGCTGATTAATGGCCTACTTTTCTCCGAATGAATATTTGGGTTTTTTTTAAATGTTGGAAGACATACTTTTAATTAGCAGTAAATGTACGTGATTTCTGTGAGTAGGCTACTTTTGTGCGGTCATTCGAGTTGATCTAAAGTCAGTGAATGACACTTTTTTTGGCAGAGTTGCATTTATAGTTTAAGTCGGCCTATTCGTGTTGTAAAGACGCCAATTATTAGTTAAAATTTCCCGCCCCAGTCGAGAAAATGCAGAGGGTTACGTAACAAGCCTTCAAACAGAAATTTCGATATACGGTATTATAATACAATTTTCGAATATGAGGAAATCAGACGGAAAACTACGTCAGGGGTATACAACCTTGCCCTGGTCCTCTTCGTTTTGAGTTGGAAGGTTTTCATATTTGTGACAAAGGTATGCCTGAATTTTTTTTTTTTTTTTTTTTTTTGTATCGTACAAACCTATAGAGTTATATTTGAATTTCGATTAACTGCAATATGAAGACGAAAAATAAATGAATGAAACGATGAACCATACATCGAATCCATGAACATTATAACCTCACAAAAACAGTTTTATGGAATCCAAATTATGTGTCAAATAGACCACAACCCGACTAAAGAGCAGAAACAGACCAATACCTTTTTTAAATAATCTCTAATGAAACACTCGTTGACATTGCCAATTGCAAGTGGTCAAACCCGATATAAGATATAAATCTGTTATATCTAATATATATATGTGGCAAATCAACCCATTATTGATGTATCAATTAATTATGACCATTGTGAAGACTTATAATGATGGTCACAGTTAAAAATGAAATTAATCCTGACTATATACATGTCACTGCTATGGTTAAAGGATCTCCAGTACCAACCAAACGGTAACAGATTTAAACCATACCAGAAGCTTGATACCCGGAAAAGAAAAATTCACTATTTTGAAGATAAAATCAGCATGTTTTGGTAAACTGCTTTGTGTGCCAACATCCTCTGGTGCTTTTTGATAAATGAAAGTCTAAGTGTGAAGCAAATCTTGTTTCCGTATTCTCTAATGGATAGATAAGTTATAAATCATGTTTCTTCTCCAATTAAATAAAGAAAATAGATAACCTTTTTATAGAAAATCATGGGATTGATCTAAACGCTTTTTTATTTTCCTGTTATAATCCTTCGATAGATTCTCTTCATTTGAGTGAAAAAATACATCTGCCAGGAACGATACATGATTGATCCCTCTCAGTCTTGAAGAGATGATCAACAAGTTTTATGCATTTTTCATTGAAGAAAGCATCAAAAGAATTCTGATTCTCTTTTTCACTTTTACACCAAACTTTTCAGTAAGAAAAATGAGGGACAATGATGACTTTAAGACACTCTTTTAGTCTTTTCTTTATATATCTACATGATATCATGTGAAAAATGAAGAAAAAGTGGTTCCCGGCAATTGTAGAATGAAACTAAATTCATTAAAACATAATTGGATTACTGATTTCACCGTTCATACTCCATCAAAAATAGTATTAACCATTAATATCCGTTTTCAGTCAATCCAGTATATTTTGCGGAGGTGTGTGCACTTAGACATTTTGTGATCAACCCAGGAGGAATGCATACGATTAAATTATAGATTAAAGATAAACTAAAGAATTTTGTAGAAACATAAGAAATGAAGTAAACGCTTAGATAGTTTTGTGTATTACTGCGATGAAATATATCGCTTTTGCGGGTGTATAATATGTCGTGTTTAGTAGATAAAAAGCATATGGTAATGTCCATACTGCAATGTGCTTAAAAAATGATAGCTATAAACGAATTTTTACATGTCTTTTGATTGAGTTAAGTCATTTCAATTGATATTTTAAAGTGTGTCTTACTATGTTGTGATGTTACACTATTGTTTCAGATAAGGGTGAAGTTTTGGTACCATTAAAACGTTTAAACCCGCTGCAATTGTTTGCATCTGTCCTAAGTCAGGAATCTGATGTTCAGTAGTTGTCGTTTGTTGATGTGGTTCATAAGTGTTTCTCGTTTCTCGTTTTTATATAGATTAGACCGTTGGTTTTCCCGTTTGAATGGTTTTACACTAGTAATATTTGGAGCCCTTTATAGCTTGCTGTTCGGTGTGAGCCAAGGCTCCGTGTTGAAGACCGTACTTTGACCTATAATGGTTTACTTTTATAAATTTTGACTGGGATGGAAAGTTGTCTCATTGGCACTCATACCACATCTTCTTATATCTATTAACCAATGCAGAAATTCGTTAACTTTAGAGGAGCATATATTATTTCGAACATTTTATCCTTGAACAAAAGACTTTATGTTAGTATTTTGAGTGAAAGACCAAGACTATACATCATCAAAATCGTGTTGCTTAGCCAGTCTGTGTTGGCAATTTCCATGTGTTTTCATATATAGACTGCAATCCGATGTCCCACGGTCCCTGGTAGTCCCAACAATGCCCATCAAACGTTAAATCAATTTCAGACTAGTGTTTGACTACTGATAAAATAGATACTCATAAGAAATCTTATCATACTTTTTAAAAGGACTTATGCATGTTATGTAGCTACGTAGCTAGTACATTAGAGGAACTTCAATTCATACTTTGTTGGTTTAATGTTTGGGTGGTTGTTTGTTTGCTCATTGTAAATTGCGTTGTTGATACTTATTCCTTCGTCGTGTTTTCTATGCAACTACAAATATGTATCTACTAGTAATGTTGTTTCAGGTTTCGTTAGCGGAAAGATAAAATAGTTTTATTGAAAAAATGTATCTTACTTTGAAAATTCATGCAATAATTCAATTAAGGTTTTGAAATCTTATTTGTATTAATTACCTCTATATTTGTTTTCATTTATTTTTTCCATTTTACTGATTGTCTAAAATTTATCAATAGAACGTTGAAGTTATGGCTTTCAATGCTCTCCAACTTCAATGTTTATTTGATTTTCCAGCTGTTTTATTCGAGCACAACTTAAGAGAGACTGAAGTATACGAAATGTCATATGCTGACTAACTTATCTTTAATAACATTTAAACAGCCGGATTAGTACTTTCCTCTCACAATGTCAATTCACGGCTGTTATTCGGTATATTGAGAAAAAGAGCCAAGTATTGCGATTGGAGCGTAAAAGATCTGGTATAGGATCATGAAAGATCTGGTATAGGATCGTGAAGGAAATGTTATCGAGAAGACACATGCAATGTCAGTAAATAATCTAATCTAATCTATTATAATGACAAATATTAGAAAAAATAACACTGTCTGTCAAATTGGTTCAACTTTATGGTGAGTATCCGAGAAAAATCAAGGTAAAAGTACACCGTTTTTACAAAACTGCAGATTGCTCATCGAAATTTTACAGAAATAAAAATGTAAACAAACATGATTTTTTTAATGCATAAACTACTTTTCTCTTAAAAAATATCGTTCAATATTACTGTTAAAAAACAGTTATTCAAGTTATTTTGTTTAAGTTCAAACAGAAACTTTCCAAAAATAGTAATATTTGTAAAAAATTTATATTTCGGATCGTGAAAGATCTGGTACCCGCATTTTGATTATCATGAAAAGGATCGTTAAAGATCTGTGTCCAAAATTTATCTATAGAACGGATGAGTATTTCTAAGATATAATAGGAGTAAGTTATCTCTGATACAGGACCTAAACGTTGTCGAACTTACCTTACTTGATAAAAGATTGCACCAATATATGATATAAGACCTTCATGCTTGATAAAAGATTTCACTAATCTCTGATACGAGACCCTAATGCTTGATAAAAAATTGCACCAATCTCTGACATAAGACCTTTATGCTTGATAAAAGATTGCACTAATCTCTGATACGAGACCCTAATGCTTGATAAAAGATTGCACCAAACTCTGACCTAAGACCTTTATGCTTGATAAAAGATTGCCATTATCTCTGATATGAGACCTTAATGTTTGATAAAAGATTGCACCAATCTCTGACATAAGGCCTTTATGTTTGATAAAAGATTGCACTAATCTCTGATACGAGACCCTAATGCTTGATAAAAGATTGCACCAAACTCTGACCTAAGACCTTTATGCTTGATAAAATATAGCCATTATCTCTGATATGAGACCTTAATGTTTGATAAAAGATTGCACCAATCTCTGACATAAGGCCTTTATGCTTGATAAAAAATTGCACCAATCTGTGACATAAGATCGATAGGCTTGATAAAAGATTGCACCAATCTCTTAAATAAGACCTTTATGCTTAATAAAGATTGCACTAATCTCTGATAAAAGACTTTTATGTTGCGCTTCCTTAGCTTTCATTTTGACTATAAAAATCTCTGGCATAGTACTTATGTATAGGTCCAACTTACTGTATTTGATATAAGACTGAATAGATCTATAACCGTTATACTGAACTTACCTTGCTTGACTTATGGTTATATGGGTCTCTAACATACGATCCACATCTCTGACATACTCTTTTCCTACAGTCATAACAAACACGTCCAATACCATCAGCAAACTTTGTTTTATAACACAACCTGCATAGTCTAAGGTCTATATGCTTCAGTTTGCCCTTCGTACTGCTCTGTCTTTTCACTTGACATTCGTATACCCTTAACTGTTCTTTGATTTGTCTACAAGATATGACAAAAGTGGCTATATGTGAATTTGGTCAACTGTAAGTAATTGTTTACTTATAGTTGACCTAAAATCATATGCAGCATATACAGTAACGACCAGCCATTTCGATCTGCACTATTTTTACCTATGGATGCAGAAATTTAAAAAACGGATGAATATAGTAGTAGAAACTAGTACAAATAGGTCATAAAGGAAATTCATGGGGAAATCTTTCGTTGAGTAAATATGACTGGAACGGTATGAAATTAAAAACTTTAAATCTCCATCATTCAGACTTCACAAGAATCAAGGTATTTTACTAGGAACATTTATCATTGCTGTAGAAAATTGATGACCTATGCAGGCTTCAATTAAAGGAAATTTATATCTCAGTTGTCCATAAAATCAAATGTTGAGAAATAAATCTTATCGATGTCCTGTGTCCTTTAAGACATTAAAGACGTCATACATCTACAACAGGTAAAATGGCATTGATTTTTACTTCTGTCATTTCAAGCAGATGTCGACTATTTTAATTGTCTTTACTGAAAATTTTAAACAAAAATGAATTTATATTAACTTCTAGATAACAATATTTAACATTACATTTTGAAGAAAGGTAAAAGAACGTTATTCCGTTGACTTAAATAAAAGAAAATGTAAGGTATTTGTCATTGAGACAGCAACCTAAAACACAAAAATAACGATATTTAACAGACTATACAAAAGTATATCTAGTGTTGTTTTGTCTTATAAAAAAGCGCGTTTCAAGAACAGATTACCATAGCTGTATATTGAAAACCTTTCGATATTAGGTCCTTAATGCTATATAACTTCTTACTTAATGTGGCTCTTAACTTATATGGCGTACAAAATTATAAGCCTGGTATCTTTGATGAGTTTTTTTTCTTCTGTTTAGTCGATTTTTACGGCATTTTGAAAAGCGAAATATTCTCATAATTGATCATGTTGAAAAATTTTCAACTTGAGGCTTCATGAGCAGAACAAAACCAAATTTAGTTGTGTAATTTTGAATTGCGAATAAAATTAGGTGTGGATATTGGAATATCCGTCTCAGTGACATTATACTCCGAACAAGCCATTTATGGATTCTATAGACTTCCTTTTAAAATTAAAAAAAACAACTTTAATAGGTAAATGTAAAAGAAGTTAAAAATTTAAGAAACAAATCTTACTCTATTCTGTTTTTCTCTTTATTTTCGAATTCTTCTTGTCGCTTTATGACATCATTAAGTGCTGCAAGTTCAACTGGACTAAGTCCAGTAAGATCAGGTGACGGTGGAGGCTGTGGACTTCGAGGACGTTTACATTCATTGTTATTAGGATTTAAATGACGACCTTTGAATGCCTGGGGGAAAAAAAATCATACAATATTACTTATGGAAGGAATTGATTAATACTAGTCTCGAAATATTAAAGAAGATACATGTATATACTAAAATTTCAGCTTTGCAAAACCCATACCACATAGTAAGCTATTAAAATCCCCGGTATAACCAAAAGGGAAATAAATCAAAAGAGAAAACCAACGGTCTGTTTTATTCTAAATCAAATAACCATAAACATTTATGGCAGACATCAACCCACGACAATCACTGGAGTCCATGCTCGTGGTCGTATAAAGAATGTAGCGCTGTTAAATGTTTGTGGAAGCTCGAAAATGTGCATATTGAAAATATATTTTTGTGCAATGGTGTTCGAAACCAAACATGGGAAATAAAATAAAATATAGAGCAACAATGCCTAAATCATAAAAGGAGGCAAACACCAGCAAAGGAACACCTGTTCATTGGAGGAATATCCATAGATTTCCCCTAATCATACATCTTTTTGTCAACTGACAAGTTCACTAGTATCAATATCAAAGTTATATCAAGATTCAAAATAGATTTGAAAGCCAACGTTATCTTGTAAGGTGTCTGAAGTGCCTTTGACATGAATTGATTCTCCAATTATGTTCCACTTCGTGATCTTAACGTTGTTTAATTGATTACCGTAAAATAATTATTTTCTATTACTATCTATGACAACAATTTATCGTACAAATTCTGTCCAACAATGACATATTAATAAAGGAGAAAATTCAATACCTTTTTGAAGATATTTGCCATAATTCCACCAGGATTCCATCAAATCTCAACCAGAAAACATCTTGTATTTGATCTAGAATTGAAAATATCGCACATTGTCATATCAAAACGAAAATGCTATTGTGTGAATGATCAAAATCGATAAAAGATTATCACTTCTGTGCTAATTGAACAGAAAATCATAATTATCACTTGTTGTGTCAAACGTTCGATGCTCAGAATCTCTATAGCCTGAAAATATGAATAATTGTCAAGAGATTATAATCTCTCTCATAGACATACTAAATGGTAGGCTTGCTTTATATTTAGATAGAATGGACATCATCAGACAATTTATGAGAATATCCGTCTCAATAAGGAGTAGTTCCGTGTAAAAGTTTTCTGCACCTGTCTTATGTTTTACATTACAAAAAAATTGTGTGCTTAAAATATCTAATCAGATATTGAGATCAATTGTTTTCATTGACCATACAGAAATACTTACAACAGAAGAATAAAGAGGACGATATAAGCATGACCTGAAATGTTAATTGTCAATTAGGTTTTAGGTGTGTTACAGGATATAAAACTATTGTAAGAAATGTTACAAGATGAAACATTGCAAGGAGTGTTATAAGACATGACACATTGCAAGGAGTGTTACAAGACATTATACATCACGTGTTAAACATTATACATGTACATTGTAAGGAGTGTTACAAGACATTACACATTGTAAGAAGTGTCAAAAGACGTTACTCATTGCAAGGAGTGTTACAAGACATGAAATATTGTAAGAAGCGTCAAAAGACGTTACACATTGTAAGAAGTGTCAAAAGACGTTACACATTGTAAGAAGTGTTACTGTAACAAGACATTATACATTTTATGAAGTATCACAAGACATTACACATTGTAAAGAGTGTTACAAGACATTATAATGTACAAGGCCGTATGCTCCACAGAGAGTCATAGATTAAATAATCATGTCACTACCACAGCTCATCTTCCGCCTCCGCTGAACATTCGAAGGTCCCCACTATGTATTGGTTACCTAAACTACACACAAAAAAAACGAAAAAAATATCGTTTCATCTCGGCTTCTACTAAGTGTTTTGATACTAATCTTTCAGTGCTTTTAACGAGTTCCTTAACTGCTTTCAAAGAACTTATCATCAATTTTTGTAATAAAACACATGAAAAAAGTGGAATTAACCATTTTTGGAGTGTAAAAAATTTCTTTGGATTTTTTAGATAAATTACGTGCTTTTGATGGTCCTTTTGATTCGGTTGACAGTTTTGACGACTTTTCCACTCTTTACACTACACTTCCACACAATCTTATCATACAAAAGCTTTCCTATTTAATTAAATGATCGTTTGATAAATTGCAAACTTATTTGCTGCAACTCATATAAAGCCTTTTTCTCAAATGAGAAAGGTAAATATGCTAGATATACCTACTGGGGGGTATGATGAGATTATTAAAACCGTAACCGTGGTTGTCGTTGGTTCATGTCTGTCATATTTGTTTTTCGTAAATTGTTTTGTTATTAATAAGGCCGTTAGTTTTCTCAAATGAATTGTTTCATGTCGGGGCCTTTTATAGCCAACTATATGGTATAAGTTTTTTCTCATTGTTGAAGGCCGTACGGTTGCCTATAATTTCTAACATCCACTTCATTTGAACTTAGGTGGATAGTTGTCTCATTGGCAATCATACCACATCTCCTTGTTTTTATACAGGACTCACAATTCTTATGTTATCCTACAAAATTACACATTAGTAGTTCTGTCTAATGATGTTGATATCAGATGTTCGATCGCATATGTTGTCCTTAATATGCATGAAACATTTGTCACTGGACACTAAACAAACAACAAAAAATCGATCGACCCTGTTGACTTCCCTCACAACATATAGCCTGAAATCGATTATGGTGTGGCTGCTTAAATTTCTATTGTTTAAGACTGTTTGGTACCGTTTGTTATATAAATAAAAAGATGTGATATAATTACCAATGAGACAACTTTCAACCAAAGACCAATGACGTAAAAGTTTGCTTTCAGTTAAATGTGGGTATCGAAATGATCTTTACCCAGTATCGTCTGTTATTCTTATATCACGATTGGAATTCTACACTTAAACAAAACTACCATTATTACGCAAATCTGTTACATGATAAATGCGATGTCAGAAAAAGAGATAAAATATTTTTTTACAATAATAATCAATTTTGTTCACGTAAACTTATTAACAAATGCGTAGGAATTAAAGCATTTCTTCATTTAGAGACATACATGGAAACTCTTAACGCCGATATGAGCTGCATTATATTCAAGATTTGCCAGTGAGGTCATGTCAACAAAATACTGACTACAACGATCAAAACCGGGTTTTTCAATTGCGTGTACGAATTTGTTGTCATGACTTTATACTCATAGTTGAAATTATTTCAAGGAGAAATACGCAACAACTGTAAAAAGATTAAAGAATGCCTAAAGCATGTGGTAACATTCTACGGCTTCCTCGTAACACGGAAGAAAAACTGTGTATTTTTTTTATATAGCTTGATAATAAACATAGAACTGACAAATAATTGAACTGAGTTTTACTGTGCGTATTGCTATGTGTTTCTTTATTCTACATTGGCTAGAGGTATAGGGGGAGGGTTGAGATCTCACAAAACATGTTTAACCCCGCCGCATTTTTGCGCCTGTCCCAAGTCAGAAGCCTCTGGCCTTTGTTAGTCTTGTATGTTTTTTTCAATTTTAGTTCATTTATATGTTTTGGAGTTAAGTGTGACGTCCATTTTCACTGAACTAGTACACAATTTTATTTAGGGGCCAGCTGAGGACCACCTCCGGGTGCGGGATTTTCTCGCTGCGTTGAAGACCCATTGGTGGCCTTCGGCTGTTGTCTGCTCTTTGGTCGGGTTGTTGTCTCTTTGACATATTCCCCATTTTCATTCTCAATTTTATAGAATCTTCTAATATCCAGTGTCTAAACTATCGAGAATGGGAAGATATATCGTGCTTATCGAGAATGGGAAGACATATCGTACTTATCGAGAATGGGAAGACATATCGTGCTTATCGAGAATGGGAAGATATATCGTGCTTATCGCGAATGGGAAGACATATCGTGATTAATGGAATAAGCAGTAGGGGGGTCGGTTTTTCTAATTATTTAATCGAGAAAAAAACTCGCGTTTAATATTCCGAATAGTTTTTAGGAAAAAACTACACGACAATTTAATCAACATAGGGATTATAAAAAAATTATCCACATGGACATTACCGGTTGAACTGAAGAATTAGATAAAATAGTATGTATAGTACTAGTATCCCATTTGTTCATGTAGCTGATGAAACAGCTTGTGACACATAATTTAACATAAGATTTACCACAGTGTTATATAAGTTAGTTTGGTTTGAACACTAGATATGTTTTAAATGTGTGTTCATCTACAACATAATTCGTATAAACCTGTATATATTATACAGGGTTGACTGCAATATTCAAATAATTTGACTTTCTACAATAGTTTTGATATCAGACTTTCCTAATTAGACCAGTTCAATCCGATATTTCGTTCATGGATGATAATTCAAAAAAAATTAGTATCTTATATGTATTCTTTCCACAATCTAATTACATAAATGGCAACTGAAAGTCCACATGAGGTGTGCAGTAAATGTCAGTAATACAGCAACTGAAAGTCCACATGAGGTGTGCAGTAAATGTCAGTAATACAGCAACTAAAAGTCCACATGAGGTGTGCAGTAAATGTCAGTAAGACAGCAACCCAATAAGACATTAATCGAAAAAGGACACCGAGAAGGACAATATTCGGTACAAATTAATGTAAGGCATCCTCGGTTGAAAAAAACAATACAAATATAAACATGAATATAGTTATCTTATTTTTATAACTCATCTATAATTGACTTATTTTCTTGCCTAATAAAGAGAAAATAATCACTACGAAAAGTTCGCATAATATTTTATGGGTTTATTTTAAGTTAATACAATACATCATAGTCCATTGTTATAAGTGCCATTAATAGCTGGTATTTGGATTTATTAGATGAAAGATACGGTGGATTGCGTCACAAATAAATCAACAGGTGAAAGTTAACCAACTTCAGTGCAGAAAGGTATAAAGATCAGAATTAGCAAGGCAAGAAAACAATTGTAAGATGAGACAACTAGTGTTTGGGTTCTTCTTTGAAATCAAGTGTGTTACTTTAATGGAATCAATAGTTCAATAAACACGTCATGTATGCCATTACTATTTATATACTTAAACTCAGAAAAGAGAATGTAACACTCTATAGAAATAAAAATAATTGCATTCATCTTGTAATTCGAATTCTATCATTCAGATAACTTGAACGACGATTTTAAGAATAAGAGACATGGGCAATTTAATTTAGTTTGTTATTTTTATTATATTTCTATATAAATAATTTACTTATTTATCTATTTTTCTCCATAGGAATTAAGGAACAATTCTGCTGGTTGTGTTGGAGTGACGGGTATCCTAGGAATTACCTGACCATCGGCTGTTTAAAATACAGTATTTTAAATATAGAATTTTCTTTCTGCTTAAATTTGTAATTTCTTCCTTTTCACTCGATCTAAAACTGGGATAGATGTAATGGAAAACGTTTTATTGAAACTTAGTCCACGAATCAAGAAAAGCATGTATATAATCAGCATGTTTAATATGTTATGTATAATATATCAATGAAAGGGTGAATCGTTGAAAAACACATTTATTTCTGTGGATAAAATTTTCACTGGCTATCTTTCAACTGATATAAACACAAATTGTAGTTTGTACAATGGTTTTAATATTAAGTTATGAAATGAGTAAATAACAAATAAAAGTCTGGTATTAATCAGCGATCGGTAAAACTGGATTCACTGACTATAAAGAAATATGCATCAACGTGGCTGTGTTCATTTACCCATTTGCACTATCAAATACACGAACTGTAAGAATATAGCTCTAAAATGTTAAATTCATCGCATT